ATTGCACTCCAGCCTGGGCAACAAGAGCAAGACTCCGTCTCAGAAAGATAAGCCATGGATACATTCAGCTGGCTCTGTGCTTTCCCAGGCATTCTCATCTTCTAATAGAGAAGCTGCTAGCTACATGTAACTCCTAAGAACTCCAAACGTAGATAATGTGATTGAGGGACTGAATTTTTTTTTTTTTTTTTTTTTTAAAGACAGGGTGTCTCTCTGCACCCAGGCTGGAGTATAGTGGTACAATAAGAACTCATTGCACCCTTGACCTTCCAGGCTTAACTGATCCTCTCACTAAGCCACCCAAAATGTCAAGCACATTTTATGCCTCTCAGATGAGAGTATAGGTACCACACCTGGCTAATTTTTTTTGGGGGGGTGGGGGCGGGGGTAGAGACAGAGTCTCACTGTGTTGCCCCAGCTAGTCTCGAACTCCTGGGCCCAAGTGATCCTCCCTACTTGGCCTCCCAAAGTGCTGGGATTACAGGTGTAAGCCACCTCACCCAGCCACAGGAACTGAAATGTTATTTATTTCTTACAAGTTCAGATGTAAGTTAAATAACCACATTTGGCTAGTGGTTGCGACACTATAGAAGATATCCTTATAACTAAATTTCTGTATACATTTTCCCTAGGGCAAATTCCTACAAGTGGAAAAATAGCCAGATATATTCATATTCTTAAGATTCTTACTGTGCATTTAACTGAAGATTTTTAGTCAGCTGTAAATTTGAGGAACTATTCCAAGACATGATTAGAAAAGCAGAAAAGAGCCTGGAATTTACTCCATCTTTTTTCTCAGTGTTTCTCAATCCTGACAATGCAGGGCTTTTGTTTTTTTGTGGTGAGATGGGAGAGAATGGTGGTAGTGGTAGCAGCTAGAGCTTTTAAAACTGTATAGATGTCTAAGGCCCTCCCCAGACCTGCAGAATTAGAATTTTTGAAGGTGGATGTCTGAGCATCTATAGTTGTTTATAAAGACACAAGTTAATTTGAAATACATCCTGTTTTAGGCCAGGTGGGGTGGCTCCAACTGTAATCCCAGCACTTTGGGAGGCCAAGGTTGGTGGATAACTTGTGATCAGGAGTTCAAGACCAGCCTGGCTATATGGTGAAAACTACTAAAACTACAAAAATTAGCCAGAGATTGTGGTACACACCTGTAGTCCCAGTTACTTGGGAGGCTGAGACAGGAGAATCACTTGAACTCAGGAGTCAGAGGTTGCAGTGAGCCAAGATTGTACCACTGTACTCCAGCCTGGGCAACAGTATGAAGCCATGTCTCATAAAAAAACAAAGAAAAAATTGATTTTATTTTTAACTTCCAAAATTTTTCCAGACCATAGAAACTTTTTTTTTTGCAAATAAAAACATCTACCTACCTCTTTATCTACATTAATTTTCTCTTTCTATTATGGACTACATAAGAATATAGACCTTTTTTCCTCTTCAATTTCTTTTGCATGATGATTTATGTTTAATATTATTAAATATATATTCTAATAATGTTTTTCAAGTAAAATCTGTTTTTAAAATTTTATGACAAGATAAATGAGTGATTCTCAGCTGGGGTTGGAGAAGTGGCTTCTATAAGAATATCAGGGTAGGGCCAGGCAGCACTTTGGGAGGCTGAGACAGACAGATTGCTTGAACTCAAGAGTTTGAGACCAGGTGCAGTGGCTCACACCTTAATCACAGCACATTGGGAGGCCAAGGCCGGCAGATCACCTGAGGTCAGGGGTTCGAGACCAGCCTGGCCAACATGGTGAAACCCCATCTCTACTAAACATACAAAAAAATTAGCCCGGCATAGTGGTGCACATACCTGTAGTCCCAGTAACTCAGGAGGCGTAGGTTACAGTGAGCTGGGATTGCGCCAGTGCACTCCAGCCTGGGTGACAGAGCAAGGCTTCGTCTGAAAAGAAAAAAAAGAGTTGCAGACCAGCCTGGGTAACATGGCAAAACACTGTCTCTACAAAAAAAAATACAAAAATTAGGCATGGTGGCACATACCTGTAGTCCCAGGTACACAGGAGAGTGAGGTGGGAGGATGCTTTGAGCCCAGGAGGCAGAGATTACAGTGAGCAAAGATCACTGCACTCCAGACTGAATGACAGAGCCAGACCCTGCCACAAAAAAAAAAAAAAAAAAGTCAACTAAGTTCAACTGGCCTAAAAAGCAGCTAGTTCAGATTGCAGAAGACTGGAGCAGCCTATGAAAGCAGTTTCCAGGAGAAAATTGAAATTGATGGGTTTGAGGGTATGAAAAAATATGTGGATAAGGCAAATAGCAGAAATGTTGGAGTATTTGTAAAAAGTTAATAATAGCTATATGGGAAACCAAGCAAGTGAACAAATGAGGCAGTTATTAACTCTAGCAAAAAATAGATGTATAAGGAAAAAAACATTGGCCAGGTACAATGGCTCATGCCTGGAATCCCATTACTTTGGAAGGCTGACATGGGTAGATCACCTGAGGTCAGGAGTTTGAGACTAGCCTGGCCAACATGGTGAAACTCCGTCTCTACTAAAAACACAAAAATTGGCCAGGTGTGGTGGCAGGCGCCTGTTATCCCAGCTACGGGGGAGGCTAGGGCACGAGAATCCCTTGAACTTGGGAGGTGGAGGCTGCAGTGAACAAGATTGTGCCACTGCACTCTCCAGCCATGGTGATAAGAGCGAAACTCCGCCTCAAAATTAATTAATTAATTAATTAATGAAAGAGACTTGGTTATTTCTTTTTTTTTTGAGATGGAGTCTTGCTCTGTCACCCAAGTTGGAGTGCAGCGGCGCAATCTTGGCTCACTGTAACCTCTGCCCCCTGGTTTCAAGTGAGTCTCCTACCTCAGCCTCCTGAGTAACTTGAGACTACAGGCGCCTGCCACCATGCCTGGCTAATTTTTTGTGTGTATTTTTAGTAGCGACGGGGTTTTACCATGTTGGTCAGGCTTGTCTTGAACTCCTGACCTGACCTCAGGTGACCCATCCGCCTCAGCTTCCTAAAGTGCTGGCACTACAGGCATGAGCCACTGTGCCTGGCCAAGACATGGTTATTTCTGTTTGCCTCAACTCTGAACCATATTTGCATAGTCATAGTAATATAAATGTGGACTATTGATTTAACCAAACTTATGCCAGAGCTATGTTGGTAGAATGAGAGCAGGAGATACAGTGGAAGAAGATGATTTAATAAAGCTTTGTCTTCATCTACCATGGTAGGAAGTTAAAACTGGCTGACTCTGGGTGCACTGCCTATGAGTTAGCCCTGCTCTGCAAGGAGCAGTAAAGAACATTTTAAAAGTCTAAAATTATAGTCATATAAACATTGTTAAAGAATGATTATTAAAAAGCAGGATAGCGCTGTGCATGGTGGCTCATGCGGTAACCCCCGCACTTTGGGAAGCCAGGATGAGAGGATCCCTTGAGGCCAGGAGTTCCAGACCAGCCTGGGCCACATACAGAGACCCTGTCTCTCCAAAAAGTAAATAAAAAGCAGGATAACCAGCCAGGCACGGTGGCTCACTCCTGCAATCCCAGCACTTTGGGAGGCCAAGGCAGGTAGATCACGAGGTCAGGAGTTTGAGACCAGCCTGGCCAGCATGGCAAAACCCCATCTCTACTAAAAATACAAAAATTAGCCAGGCCTGGTGGTGCACACCTGTAATCCCAGCTGTTTGGGAGGCTGAGGCAGGAGAATCACTTAAACCCAGGAGGTGGAGGTTGCAATGAGCCAAGATCACGCCACTGCACTCCAGCCTGGGTAACAGAGCAAAACTCCATCTCAAAAACAGAAAAGCAGAATAACCATAGAAAATAACTGAAGGTAATAGCTTCTAGGAAGGGGTTAGTGGGGGATTGGGTCAATATAAATTTAGGAATTAATTTAAGGAAAACTATATAATGCATTTCTCTTTCTATAGAAATTAAATTTTTTTTCCTTTTTGAGACACTTCAAATGATTCAAACGATTCTTTCTTTTTTGGAGACAGAGTCTCACTCTGTCACCAGGCACCAGGCTGGAGTACAGTGACGCGATCTCAGCTCATGGCAACCTCTGCCTCCCAGGTTCAAGCAATTCTGCCTCAGCCTCCCAAGTAGCTGGGACTACAGGCGTGCACCACCTCGCCCAGCTAATTTTTGTATTTTTTGTTTGTCTGGTTTTAGTAGAGATGGGGTTTCACCATGTTGGCCAGGATGATCTCAATCTCTTGACCTCATGATCTGCCTCAGCCTCCTAAAGTGCTGGGATTATAGGCGTGAGCCACTGTGCCCAGCCCAAACAATTCTTAAGTAGCTGGGCTTACAGCTGCCTACCACCTCACCTGGCTAGTTTTTTATTTTATTATTATTATTTATTTATTTATTTATTTATTTTTGAGACCAAGTTTTGCTCGTTACCCAGGCTGGAGTGCAATGGCGCGGTCTCGGCTCTCCGCAACCTCCGCCTCCTGGGTTCAGGCAATTCTCCTGCCTCAGCCTCCTGAGTAGCTGGGATTACAGGCACGGGCCACCATGCCCAGCTAATTTTTTGTATTTTTAGTAGAGATGGGGTTTCACCATATTGACCAGTATGGTCTTGATCTCTTGACCTCGTGATCCACCCGCCTCGGCCTCCCAAAGTGCTGGGATTACAGGTGTGAGCCACCACACCCAACCTATTATTATTTTTTTTATTTTTAATGGAGGCAGGGTTTCACTGTGTTGGCCAGGTTGATCTCAAATCCCTGACCTCAAGTGATTCACTTGCCTTAGCCTACCAAGGTGCTGGGATTAGCACTTGATGTGAGCCACCATGCTTGGCCAAAAATTACAGAATTTTATAATGTACTTGGCTGAAGTACATTCAGATTTATCATCACTGAAAGTTTCTTTAAACAAATCTAGCAATTTATAGGTGAAGTCCAGTGCTTTGAATGGTAAACCTGTAATAACTTTTTGTTAATCAGAAGGCATTTCTATATAGTGAAATTTTTGCTAACTCAGCCTGTTTCTATTTTCCTTTTAGGTTTAAGTGTTTGAATCTGAAGTGGGTCTACACAGTAGGAACTCATGTCTTTTCTTGTAAGTAAACCAGAGCGAATCAGGGTGAGTGTTTTTCTATTCTTCTGGCTTTGCTATTTTTGTTTTCTGAAAAGCAGTGTGTTTTGGCAGATGTTGTAGGTGGTTTTCTATGTGAGGGTCAGGATGATACAGAAGTGAGGGATGTAGGAAGTAAGGCAGGTACTGCAGCCTCAACTCCTGAGAAGAGTCTGCAGACAAAATCTGACCAGAGATACAAAATTTACCATCAGCTTGTCTAATAGAGAAGTAACAAGAAGAAAGTGGCTTATTTTATGAATATTGGTCATACAACATTAAATGAGTCAATGATACTTTTCAGTATAGATGTGTAACTACTTATGAGGATCCCCCATGAGTCTGTGAGTTTTCAAAATCAAGTTGTAATTACCAGGATACTTTTTTAAAGTTGTAATTACTTTTAATTGAAGACTTTTTGAACATGAAAGATTTTATTATACCTCAAAACTTCATCAGCTAAAATGACCTCAAAAACAATACTAGATTTAGCTTCTTTACAAATTCGCATTATTTCATGAGTGTCTTATTTTGTTTATTATCAAGTGCTTAATTAATTTTTTAAATGCATTAATTTCTAAATGCAGTAGTAATTATTTTAGAATTTTGTAACAGTGTATAAGTGCTATGAGACATTATGAGTACACCAGTTTCTTTACATATTAAAGCATAATTTATGTTTTTTGATGCAGTGCACATAATTTTATATAAAGTTTTAAATTTAGGATGTTATTTCTTTTTTGACTTGGAAAAATAGTTATAGGGAAGGACAGAGAATGATGCTATAGTTCCAGTTCACAGTCTGTATCATACAACTTATTTCTGAATGTTACTTAATCTTCTTTTTTCTAATGTTTATGCATATAAGGACAATTTATATTAGAAAGAATAAACTTCACTGTTAATTAAGAGGAAAAAGGGAACCTCTCCATAGCCTGAACTCTGCCTAGTGGAAGGAATGCCCCCAAGCCAAACTGTAACACCAGCCCTTACAGGAAATACAATCTTGATTCCATTGCTTTTAAGTATGAGCTGCTTTTCTGTTTCAACGTAGCCTAATTCAGGTGAAACAAAACCACTGATCAGAGTGACAGAAATCTAACTCTCATTTGAAATAGGCCAGTAAAGTGAGCTGTAGATTGATCCTGCCAGTTTGGTCCTTGTGAATTTGGCAGAAAGTGTAAGCAGCCGTGTCTTTAGAACCTCTAGTGGATAAAGAATATACAACTTGCTGTGTGTCGTTTTACAAACTAACAGGGTCTTATGAATAACTACTGTTTCATCTCTGTTTTCTGTGTTATGAATTCCCATAATACTTTTCAAATTGACATCAGTGAACCAAGGCATCTGTAATATAGAATGAGTAAGATGGAGCCAATATAGGGAAGGCAAAAACAGTCTTCATTATTAGGGCCAGTACTACCTATTTCTCATCTGTCCAATTTAAGAATTATTCATCAAATAGGCAAAGAGAAGTAAAGACAAGAATCTTGTTTTTAGTTAATTTCAAGATTCTGTTAAAAACTTTTCCACAGAAATGATACCTAACTATACTGCATGAGATTCTGTTTTCATAGTTATGTTTTTGTCTGTCTGTCTAAAGGCTGATAGCTAATTTGTTGTGGCTTAGAAGAAATACTAATTCTCTTTGGGGTTTTCCTCTTTAGCGGTGGGTCTCGGAAAAGTTCATTGTTGAGGGCTTAAGAGATTTGGAACTATTTGGAGGTAAGTAGAGTATGGCATTTAGCCATCACTTCAGGATATAAAAATCACTACTTTTTTGTAGACTAAATCAATCTATACCAATTAGCAATTCTGAGGGCAAATGTAACCAATTCATTGCTTTTTGAATTCACGGTTTCTCAAAGATTTGAAGACTAACCTGGCAGTTTTCCTTGGCTTGTCTTGATTGTTAGAAAGCCAGTATTTACTTACAGGCATATATGTTTTCTTTTGTCCAGTTGAAACACATATTTTTAAAGGAAAAACTATTTAAAAGGCTCTAGCCTTGAAGATATTAAAAATAATTGTCAAGACAAAGGATGCGATGATACGAATGTTCTGGTTTTATTGATCAATCTAGTTGACTCATTTTTCGTGGTAGAAATTGTAAGACTTAAGAGAGCTAAAGAAAAATCTTTCACAGCAAAAATTAACTTCCTATTGTAAAATCTGAATGTTGATTTCAGAAGTAAACCTTGACAGGCCTAGGCATTACCCTTTGGCCATTTTCAAAGTGAGCCTTTATTGGGAACTGTCATCTTAATTCAGGGCAAAAAAATTATTTTCCATAAAAATAATAGTAGAGCCCCATTCTTTGTGTCTGAATACCAAGATACTCTAAAATTTTATGATCCTATAGTTTAAGAAACAGATTATCAGGCTGGGCATAGTGGTTCACACCTGTAATACCAACACCTTGGGAGGCTGAGGCAGGCAGATCATTTGAGATCAGGAACTCAGGACCAGCCAGGCCAATGTGGTGAGACCCCATCTCTACTAAAAATACCAGAATTAGCCGGCCACAGTGGCACGCACTGTAGTCCCAGCTACTCGGGAGGCTGATGCAGAAGAATTGTTTGAACCCAAGAGGTGGAGGTTGCAGTGCTAACATGGCACCACTGCACTCCAACCTGGGTGACAGAGCAAGACTCCATCTCAAGAAAAAGAAATTATCAGCCAGGCACTGTGGCTCACACCTGTAATGCCAGCACCTTGGGAGACCAAGTCAGGCAGATCACCTGAGGTCAGGAGTTCGAGACCAGCCTGGCCAACATGGTGAAACCCCATCTCTACTAAAAATACAAAATTAGCCAGGTGTGGTGGCACATGCCTGTGGTACCAGCTCCTAAGGAGACTGCGGCAGGAGAATCACTTGAATTCAGGAGGTGGAGGTTGCAGTGAGCCAAGATCACACCACTGCACTCCAGCCTGGGCAACAGAGCAAGACTCCATCTCAAAAAAAAAATTATAAAATAAATAAATTTAAAAAACAGATTATCAGATTGAGTACATTGGTTAGTTGATCCACAGTATCCCCAGATAGGTTTAAATAATTGAAAACTCAAACTTGTTAGTTACTAGGTGATACCTATTAATTTATTTTTCCTAACACATCTCAAAGAATTTTTTGAGTAGTAGTATTTGTGAACTTTGTCAAAGTGTTATGTTTTAGACAAATGGAAGTTTAGAAAAATGATGAATTCTTTATATTTTAGTTGGAAAGAATCAGTTAGATACACAGGAAAGGAAAGGCCAGTAGAACAAAAGTGCCACATTCTGTTCCTATTCTAATTTTCTTCCCATCATTAATGGGAATAAAATGGTTTAAAAGTAAACAATGAGCTGGGCACGGTGGTGTGCTTCTGTAATCCCAGCTACTTAGGAGGCTTGAGGCAGGAGGATTGTTTGAGCCTAGACTCAGCAACATAGCGAGACCCCCTTTCTTTAAAAAACTGGTTTGGGGAACCTGGGCACAGTGGCTCGTGCCTATAATCCTCGAACTTTGGGAGGCCAAGGCAGGCGGATCGCTTGAGCCCAGGAGCTCAAGACCAGCTTGAGCAACATGGTGTAACCATATCTTTACAAAAAATGCAAAAATTAGCTGGGTGTGGTGGCACACACCTTTGGTTGTAGCTACATGAGAGGATGAGGTGAGTGGATCACTTGAGCCTGGGAGGCTGAGGATGCAGTGAAGTATAATCATGCCACTGCACTCCAGCCTGGATGACAGACTAAGACCCTCTCTCAAGAAAAAAATATTGTTGGCATTTGTGAGAATTTATTTGGAAGTCCCGTTTATAATGAATTAGTTACAACTATTCCAGTGTATGTAAACTGAATTAATGGGCTCTGGCTTCAGTGTATTGAATGTAGGATCTCTGGTTGTCTCTCTCTTTTTTTTTTTTTTCAGAGAGCATTTTGCTCTTGTCACCCAGCCTGGAGTTCAACCTCCACCTCCCAGGTTCAAGCAATTCTCCTGCCTCAGCCTCCCAAGTAGCTGGGTCTACAGGCATGCGCCACCATGCCTGGCTAATTTTTTGTATTTTTAGTAGAGATGGGGTTTCACCATGTTGGCCAGGCTGATCTTGAACTCCTGACCTCAGGTGATCTGCCCACCTCAGCTTCCCATAGTGCTGGGATTACAGACGTCACTGTGTCCGGCCTCTGGTTGTCTTTTGACTGTGCCCTAGTTTCTGATACGAGGAGGGTGGAGAGGTTGTTCTATATATTGTTACAGCCTGTAGAAGTCTATATTACCAAGTTTTATACAACTTAGAATTTGCCTTCTATTCTGGAAGATTGGAATAGATGTCTTTAATCCATTCACCTGACTTCTTACCTTTGATAGACTGTCTTAAGCAACTTCTCCTCCCATTTGTGTACCAGAAAACTAATGTCCAAGGGGGAAAAACTTCTGTTTTGAATAGGCCAGGTGTGGTAGCTCACACCTGTAATCCCAGCACTTCAGGAGGCCAAACAGGCCAAGGTGGGCAGATCTCTAGAGCCCAGGAGTTCGAAACCAGCCTGGGCAACATGGAGAGATCCTGTCTCTACAAAAAAATACAAAAATTAGCCAGATATGGTGGCACGTGCCTATAGTCCCAGCTACTCAGGAGGCTAATGTGGCAGGAACGCTTGAGCCCAAAGGGTCGAGCCTGCAGTGAGCTGAGATTGCACCACTGTACTCCAGCAAAGGTGACAGACTGAGACCCTGTCTCAAAAAAAAAAAAATATATATATATATATATATATTTTGATAGATGGAGGCTCATTTACTCTGCAGATAATCTCTTGCAGTATAATTGGATGCTCTAATGTTTCTTAGGAGAAAGCATTTTCCTTGGTAACTAGAGTTACTCTTCTGATTTGTGTAGTTTAAGGTATTTAGGACTGCATGATATAAGATGATTAGAAATGTAAAATCACCCCCAATATTTTACAGTTAAAAATCTTCAGCTTGGTGATTTTTATCACTTTTAAAGAATAGAGAAGGTCAGAAGTACATACAGAATTTGTCTGATTTAAGAACAGAAAGTTATTTCAGTTGTCCTTTGCTTTGTTCATTTTCACTAGGACTAGCAGAGCGCCAAATTGCCTTTATTTTATTTACATTTAGAATCAAATGTATATGACTTTAGAGAATCAGACTGGGTAATGGTCCTTATACACGTGTTGCTGTAATAAAACCTTTGCCCTTTTTTGAAAAAATGTGTTTTCTAGTTCCCGCACTCACTGGGAAATGGCCAATCATCTCTATAACTATATAATGAATTGTTTGTTCATAAAGTATAAGAAACTGGCCTATTCACAATAACATTGTGTGTTGATGCCAAGTAAATGTATGACCAGAATTGAGTTATATCCAGTAAAGAATACCCATAGAGTGGGTGGCCTTGCCACCTTTTGAAGAACCATGGATCCATGTCTAAAGCCCCATCTCATCTGGGCATGGTGGCTCATGCCTGTAATCCCAGCACTTTGGGAGGCTGAGGCGGGTGGATCACCTGAGGTCTGGAGTTTAAGACCAGCCTGACCAACATGAAGAAACCCCGTCTCTACTAAACTACAAAAATATCTGGGCATGGTGGCGCCTGCCTGTAAATCACAGCTACTCGGGAGGCTGATGCAGGAGAATCGCTTGAACCCAGGAGGCAGAGGTTGCAGTGAACCGAGATTGTACCATTGCACTCTAGCCTGGGCAAAAACAGCGAAACACTGTCTCAAAAAAAAAAAAAAAAGCCTCATCTCTCTGCAGCATTTTTACTGTGGATCTGTGTGTGTGTACCCCTGCAGGTACTTTTTGCTGTAATGACTCTCAAGTGGTTTCTATTAATAAATGTAGTCCTAAGTACAATAATTGCTGTTCTGAATGTGAGTGTGTCTTCTGCTAAAACACAAAATGCCAACAATCAATTTCTCTACTCCAGAGCAGCCTCCGGGTGACACTCGGAGAAAAGTAAGTGACTTCCTAGGCCCTGGCACTATGGCTGTTGCATGGAGATGACATATTGTGGAACTTCGTGTGTTTTGTTGGTTTATCATTTTATGTTTCTGCTTATCTGTCACTGAGCTTTGTTTGTAGTATGATTTTTGTACTTGTGGAGATTCAGGTTTCACCCTGGAAAGATTTGGATGTGTAGTCTGAAAACTGAAAAATGTCTCAGGTACTTTTTGTCTCTTCTGAGGATTAAGGTCTCCTCCCCTCCCCAGCCCTGACAATCAGCCACCATCCCTTCCCCCAAAAAAGTAAGTTTCAACAATCTGAAATATGGTTATTGTGTAGTGACTAATGGTATTAAATTTTCCATCCTTAGTCTATTAATAATAGGTTTTAGTCCACAGAGATAAAACAGATCTCTGTCTAGATAATAAGACAGGACCTCAAATCTCCTACCTTAAAAACAAAAGCAAAATTAAAAAGTGTAAGGCAGAATATTACTTTTTTCATTGGTGAAAGTTGCAAGATTCTTTTTTTTTTTTTTGAGACAGAATTTCGCTCTTGTTATGCAGGCTGTAGTGCAATGGCACGATCTTGGCTCACCGCAACCTCCGCCTCCTGGGTTCAAGCAGTTCTCCTGCCTCAGCCTCCCGAGTAGCTGGGACTACAGGCGCGCGCCATCATGCCCAGCTAATTTTTGTATTTTTAGTAGAGACGGGGTTTCACCTTGTTGACCAGGATGGTCTCGATCTCTTGACCTTGTGATCCACCCGCCTCGGCCTCCCAAAGTGCTGGGATTATAGGCATGAGCCACCGCACCCGGAGAAAGCTGCAAGATTCTTACCCTGTTTCCTTCTCTTCTAGTTTATTCTTCTTAAATAGCACCATATGGGCAGAGTGTACCAAGCTATTTTGGAATATATGAATCAGTGTCTTATAAAGAGAGAGAATAAGAACCTTTTCTCCAGAGACTTCTGACCCTGTTCAGATTGCAGACATTTGTAGCTTCTGCAGCAGCCCCAAGGTTGAGTGAAGGACAGTGATGTTGACTGGGAATTTCTGAGTGAAACTTTGCCTGTGCTTATGTCATCTGCTAATCAGGAGCACCTCTCTATCAGATCCAAATGCTTTCCAATCTGGAGACCAAAAACTTTCCCTATAGGATCAGTTGGGTATTATTCTAAAATACAATGCCAATTACATACAGTTTTTATATTTTTACAGCTGTTGTTGTTAAATCAAAAGTTATCCTGTGTGAAACCTGTGGGAAGTTGAATGTCTTTATTTGGTAGCATTTTGTGAATATTTTCTTTGTATGCTTTACTTATTTTGTTTTAAACTCTTTAAACAAAATTATTTTATGGTCATTTCTGGATATCAGCTGCTTTGCTTACATATTTTTCAAATGCTTCAAAATAAATAAAATGCGTTTCAGGGTGGGGGGGAAACTAAGAAAATACTCTGATAGAATTAGTTTCTTTCTCTGAGCAATCTGAGATGATTACATTGTACTAATTAAACTATGCCATGCTGTGTTTAAAGAGAATGGGCTAAATATTTCATTCTTTTTATCTGAGTTTAGACCTGTTCTAAATCTGAAACAGTGTGATGAACTAACCTGCCTTTCCTGTGGCAATGTCAGATGAGACCTCTTCCTTTCAAAATATTGCCTGTTTCCTAGTTTGTTTTTTTGTTTTCCTAAATGAATTTTGGTCTCTGAGTTCAGACCTATACAATATCCACAAAGTAAAAGGCCTCCATTTTAGAATTGTTCCTAGTGAGCTGGGGACAGAGCAGTTGCTATCACTGGACTAGATGATTTTATGCAATTCCAGATTACCTGTGAGCTCATATTGCCAGTTACATAAAGAACTTTATTTTCTCTCTTTTTTTTTTTTTTTTGGAGACCAAGTCTTGCTCTGTTGCCCAGGCTGTATACAGTGGTGTGTGTGATTTTGGCTCACTGTAACCTCTGCCTCCTGGGTTCAAGCGATTCTTCTGCCTCAACCTCCTGAGTAGCTGGGATTACAGGCATCTGCCACCACACCCGGCTAATTTTTTGTAGTAGATACGGTGTTTCACCATGTTGGTCAGGCTGATCCTGAACTCCTGACCTCAGGTGATCTGCCGGCCTTGGCTTCCCAAAGTGCTGGGATTACAGGCGTGAGCCACCATGCCTGACCAAAAAAATTATTTTCTAAAGACCAGGTGTGGTGGCTCACACCTGTAAACCCAGCACTTTGGGAAGCCAAGGCAGGAGGATGACTTCAGGCCAGGAATTTGAGGCCAGCCTGGGCAACATAGTGGGACACCCTCTCTAAAAAAAAAAAAAAAAAAACTAGCCAGGCATGGTGGTGCAAACCTGTAATCCTAGCTACCCAGGAGAATGAGGCAGGAAAATCCCTTAAGCCCAGGAGTTCAAAGCTACAGTGAGATAGGATAGCACCATGGCACTCCAGCCTGGGAGGCAGAGTAAGACTCTATCCCTAATTAAAAAAAAAAAAATTAGCCTGGCATGGTGATAGGTACCTGGGAGGCTGAGGTGGGGAGGATTTACTTGAGCCCAGGAGTTCGAGGCTGTAGTGAACTATGATCACACCACTGTACTCCAGCCTGGGTGACAGAGTGAGACCCTGTTTCAAAAAAAAAAAAGAGAATTTAACTTTCTAAATCTAATACTTTTGGGTTAGTTTTAGTCCTTTTCTGTACTACTGGATAATAGAAATAAATATTTGTCAGGTTACTAACTAAGCACATCAATAGTTTAATGAATCATTCCCTACCTAGGCTCAGCAAGAATGTGTCTGAGTGTATAGCCTAGTAGACCTATGTCTTATAAGCTTATATCCACTCCTGGCAAGGAAGAGGGACATAGGTAATAAAGAAGTATCTATCCGTGGTTTTTCCAAAGGGAATTATTTAAAGTACATAAAATGAATATTTGAATCTCAGGACTCCACTGTCTTTCACAGCCTCTTTTTCAAGTGAGAGAAATTTTAAGGAGTTTGCTTGGAGAGCAGAGGTGAGAAGACCTTCAGATACCAAGTAGCTGCTTCTCATTGAGGCCATATTGTTACCTACTGAAAAAGGTAGTACTTTCTCACATGCAGGAATCAGATTCTGATCTATAGAATGCCCTGAGTAATAGAGGGATCTAATGACTGTGTCATATGAGGCTGACATTTCCAGCATAGGTCATCATGCTGAACCTGTCTCCAAAGGAACTAGCTGGTACAGTGACCCTACTCTCTTCTCTAGCCCATGGGAATGAAAAGATCATGGGCAGAAAACCTCAGTTCAAACTTTAGTTATTTTCATTTTTTAAGTATTTGCCGGCAGTGTTCCAGGCATTGGGGGAATATATCAGTGAACATGACAGACAAGGTCCCTGCCCTTATGGGGCTGGCGTTTTAATGGAAGAGACTTTAGTGGAAGATTTTAGAGAAATAAGCTGTAATGATAACTTCTATGAAGAAAAGAAAGATAACGTGACTAGGAGCCTACTTTACTTTGGCTGGGCAGTCTTTCTGGTAAAAGGACATTTAAGTTGAGACTTCAGTGATGTTGAGCTAGCCATGAGAAAAATAGCAGGGGCTGGGGAAGGAAGAGGTTAGGAGGGTTCCAAAGGGACAGTTAGTGCAGGTTGCCTGAGACTGAAGCTTGCTTGTTTGTGTGGGGACAGTGTTCAACTCAGGCAAGGGTAGTGTGGGATGAGATCATAGAGGTAGACAAGGGCCAAATCATTTGGATACTCATAGGCTGGGGTGGGGAGTTTGTGTCTGAAAGCAACCCACTGAGCTTTCTATTAACCAGTAACATTGATTTTATTGAGGAATAGATTAATACTTCAGAAAACAGAATCTGCAGAGCAAGAATATGTATTCCTGTACATATAAGGTTGAGAAAATGAGACACTTTGAGACCAAATGAGCATTGTAAATTCTAAACCAGTGGAGAGTTGTCATTTCAGAACTCTTGGTTGAGGCTTTTTGCTCAAATTGCTGCTCCATTTTTTCTCTTGGTTGTGTATCTTTTCACCTTTGTGTGAGGTACCTGACATGGAGTAACCAGTATCTTAAGATGATTCTGAAGATGAGATTGTTTCAAGAAGCTACAGTCAGCAGGGTGCATTGGCTCACGCTTGTATCCCAGCACTTTGGGAGGCTGAGGCAGGAGGATTGCTTCAGCCCAGGAGTTTGAGACCAGCCTGGGCAACACAGGGAGACCACATCTCTACAAAAACATACAAAAATTAGCTGGGTGTGGTGGCATATGCCTGGAGTCTTAGCTACTTGGGAGGATTGCTTGAGCCTGGGAGATCACGGTTGCAGTAAGCCATGATCTTGCCACTGTACTCCAGCCTGGGTGACATAGCAAGACCCTATCTCAAATAATAATTTTTTTTAATTCAGTGATCCTAGGCCGGGCGTGGTGGCTCACGCCTGTAATCCCAGCAGTTTGGGAGGCTGAGGCAGGCAGATCACTTGAGGTCAGGAGTTTGAGACCAGCCTGGCCAACATGGTAAAATGCTATCTCTACTAAAAATACAGAAATTAGTCAGGGGTGGTGGCAGGCACCTATAATCCCAGCTGTTCAGGAGGCTGAGAGAGGAGAATTGCTTGAACCCAGGAGGCAGAGTCTGTAGTGAGCTGAGATCACACCATTGCACTCCAGCCTGGGTGACAGAGGAAGACTCTGTCTCAAAAATAAATAGGCTGGGCGTGGTGGCTCACGCCTGTAATCCCAGCACTTTGAGAGGGCGAGATGGGTGGATCACGAGGTCAGGAGTTCAAAACCAGCCTGGCCAACATGGTGAAACCAAAACCCCATCTCTATTAAAGATACAAAAAATTAGCCAGTTGTGGTGGCATGCACCTGTAATCGCAGCTACTCGGGAGGCTGAGTCAGGAGAATCACTTGAACCCAGAAGGCAGAGGTTACAGTGAGCTGAGATCACGCCATTGCACTCCAGCCTGGGTGACAGGGCAAGACTCTGTCTCCAAAAATATAAATAAATAAATGAATGAATAAAATAAAATTTAATGATCCTAGAATTTATTTTGAGAGTATTAGAAAACACAGATAAGTATAAAAACCAGTATCAAATCAACTTTAACTACTGATCAAGCTCCACTTAAGATTCTCTGTTTCCTCCATTTTCTCTGTTCCATTTTATTTGTTGAACAGAAGAGTCACCAAAAAGTAGACAGCAATAGGAGGAGGAAGAGAATAGGATTCACATGTATTGAATGTCTTTCTTACACCAGGTAGCACTAAGCTCTTAACATATTTTATCTCGTCTAATAGATACTACACTATGAGATGGAAATTACTCAGCTGCTGAGATAATGGAGATCCCGAGAGATCAGAGTGACTTGCCCAGGGTCACAGAACCGGTAATAGACCTGAGTTCAAATTCTGCCTCTATGTGGCCCATAAACCTATGCTCTTTGCATTATAGCATATGTCTTATTTAAAATAGCCTTTCCCAATTACCTTTCCCAAAATTTAACAGATGTTAGGCACAGAAGGCTCCCTAGACAGATCTCTTTGGGAAATCCTAGGTTAATGAAAGTAAGTTTTCTTACTACAGAATTTCTCAGTGCCTTTAATATGGGCTACACCTTGTAATTCTCCATGAGAGAGTATGCTGCATCTCCTAACTTCATTGGACATGGAAGCATTTTTCACCTGTCAACTGGCAGAATCAGTATTCCACGGGACCTAGTTTGGGGAAATCCTGCACTGAAACAACTTACTAGGAAAATGGGCACAAGACAGGAAGAGATGTTTTCACCTTGGAGAAAACTCACGTGGCTGAAAACTATATGAAAAGATCCTCATTTTCATTAGTAATCAGGGAAATGTAAATCAAACCCACGAGACTGGCAACAATTAAGAAATCTGAAAATACCAAGTGTTGGGGAAAAGTTAGATTAATGAGAACACACATGGCCGGGAGTGGTGGCTCTCACCTGTAATCCTAGCACTTTGGGAGGCCAAGCTGGGTGGATCATTTGAGGTCAGGCATTCAAGACCAGCCGGGCAACATGGCAAAACCCTATTTCTACAAAAATTAGCCAGGCGTGGTGGCTTACACCTATAGTCCCAGCTCCTTGAGAGCACTGAGGCATGAAGGTCACTTGGACCCAGGAGGCGGAAGTTGCAGTGAACCGAGATCATGCCACTGCACTCTAGCCTAAGCGACAGAATAAGACCCTGTCTAAAAAATAAAAAACACCTATGTTGCTGGTGGTAGTATAAATTGGTATTTTGGAAAATAATTTGGCGTTGTCTCATAAAGTTGATTGTTCATATGCTCTGTCACCTAGCAATTCCATCCACTCCTAAGTACAAGCTCCATTCGGGAGACATATTCAAATATGTTTATAGTAGCACAGCCCATAACAGCAGAACAGAAAAGCAACCCAAATGACCCATAAATGTTGGAATGGGTAAACTGAGATATATTAATGAGATAAATATTGTACAGCAGTGGAAATGGGTGAACTACAGTGAAATACAACAATATGGCCAAATCTTAGAAATATAAAAATTGATTGAATTAGAAATGGAATTTGGTGAAGGGCTTAATTTTGCTTGTCTAGGTTCCTCTTCTTTTCAGGGTAAGTGATGAGGGAGACAGAGCCCACTTGGGGATTTCTTTCCCCATTAGCAGCATCAAGTGTTTTGAAACCAGATACAGCCAAGTGCAGTGGCTCCTGCCAATAATCTCAGCTACTTGGGAAGCTGAGGCAGGAGGATCACTTGAACCCAAGAGTTCAAGGCCGCAGTGAGCTAGGATCTTGCCACTGCACTTTAGCCTTAGTGACAGAGAGAGAGACCCCATCTCTTAAAAATAGCAGGCCGGGCACGGTGGCTCATGCCTGTAATCCCAGCACTTTGGGAGGCCGAGGCAGGTGGATCATGAGGTCAAGAGATCGAGACCATCCCGGTCAACATGGTGAAACCCTGTCTCTACTAAAAATACCAAAAAATTATCTGGGCATGGTGGCGCGTGCCTGTAATCCCACCTACTCAGGAGGCTGAGGCAGGAGAATTGCCTGAACCCAGGAGGCGGAGTTGCAGTGAACCGAGATCGCGCCATTGCACTCCAGCCTGGGTAACAAGAGCGAAACTCCATCTCAAAACAAAAAAAAAAAACAATAGCAACAAAACAACAAACAAACCACGTGAAATGTCAGCCAGCAGGGTGGTAGATTAATTTCACTGGCTTGGGCCTGGGTCCTGTGCCATGTACCCACATTTTGATTTGTGGCAAGTCACTTAATCTCCTTTGCCCTCATTTTTATTAGTGAAAAGTGGAGATAAGATCTGTCCCAGCTACTTCACTGAGCTATGGAGCAGATCACATGCAATGTGGAAGTGCTCTGGAAAGTACACTGTGGTCAGCTAACAGGTATAGAGCACTGTCGTCTTTATGGTTTCCGCTGCAGAGCCGTTTCCCAAAGAGTTGTTGAGGCACTGCCTTGTCAGAACACTCTCAGCTCATGCTTTTCTGGGTAGTGCAGGGCCAGTGGCCTCTCCTACTTTCACAAAGGACTTTTTCTGCCTGGAGGTCAGGCTTAGGAGTGCAGCACATGAAACATGAGCTGGCCTAGGTTTCTCCATTTCAGTTAGATGCACATCTGAAGAAAGAAAATCTAAAGAAAAGCAGTCACAATCCCCAAATCATACATATTTAGGTCTAGAAAAAGGAAACAGTTCATTAAGCTGAAGGAAGAGCTGTTGGTCTGGTCTGCCATGTGTTTTGCACAAACTCAAGACATTGCTAGATACCTTCCTTTAGGACCTCAGAGGCCAGAGTTGTGACACCCACATCCTAAAGCATTGGACTCCAGCTTCACTCAGAGCACACATGGGCAGGAACGAGGGAGCAGGCCACATCGGCTGCCTAGATAATGCCTGAGACCTGACAGCTCTGTCCCTTGCCTCAACTCAGGGCATCAGTTCTCACTTCACTTGGAAATGTTAGGCAATAACTGGCCTGGGCTCTTGGTTTGCTAAAGAGGAGGCTTCTTCTGGCCACATTTTCCCTAGAGCAAGATTCAGTGTTTGATCTTTCGGGATCTTGTGGTCAGGACCTTAAAAATAGGACCCTAATGCATCAGGAAATTGAAGAGAACCCCTACACTTCCATCTGCTTCTCTTCTCTAAACATGCTTTAATTCTCCAGACATCCCTTCTCCAAGTGAGAATTTCACAGCCTTTAGCAAATGCATCAATTGTTGGAAAAGACAAGCAGATTAACGGTGACAGGAACAGGTCCTTGTCTCCCCATTTGTAGACAACCCTAACACTTGCTCTGATATTAGTGCTGATTACTACATTGAATGTAATGCTTTGTTTCTCTTCAAATAGTGCTGGCACCAAGTCTGGATTTGTGGGTGTGTTTGGATGCCTTTCTCCTCGTGGGTCTGAATTACCACCTTCACCCCACTTCCATCCCACCCCCAATTTTCTCTATTAACCTATTTTTCTTTTTCTTTTATAGACCAATGAGGCGAGCTCAGAGTCGATAGCATCCTTCTCTAAACAGGAGATCATGAGTAGCTTTCTGCCAGATGGAGGGTGCTATGAGCTACTCACTGTGATAGGTATGTGCAGGGCTGTCCTTACTCTCCTCTTCTGCTCCAGGGCTGCTGCAGCTGGCTTTCTCAGCAGCCCCAGATGTGTGTACAGCAGAGGCCATCTACTAGTTAGGGCACTTCATGGGGACAGAGCTGCTTCTGTGGATCATCTTTTTTTTTTTTTTTTTTTTCTGCCAAGTATGGGAAGAGATCAAGCTTCCAGGAGAGTAAACCTTTTGCCATTTTTCCTTTGTGGCTGCATGTTTCTGGTGTCCTGGCCGTAGTGAATCAGAATGATTGGCTGAGAAGGAACTGATGGCAGTAAAATCAAGAAATGTGAGCCATGAACAGAACAGTAAAATTCTGCTGGGAAAAAGGGGGGGGAAAAACAGAAAAGGTAACAGTAGTGGAAATTTTAACATTAAGTTTCTTTTGAAATCAACTCCCTTTTTTAAAGGAAATTTTTTAAATCCCTTGTTGCTCTTGTCCTTGTGTATGGTGTTCTTCTTTTCTTTTAGGCAAAGGATTTGAGGACCTGATGACTGTGAATCTAGCAAGGTACAAACCCACGGGAGAGTATGTGACTGTACGGAGGATTAACCTAGAAGCTTGTTCCAATGAGATGGTAACATTCTTGCAGGTAATAAACCATGAGTGTGCCACATGGAGAGAGGGTGGGCTCTTGGCTCTGATAGTAGTTACAAGGAATTACAAAGAAATGAAGGGAGATTAAATGTTCAGAAGTTATGGAAACTTTAAGGAGAAAATCCTGGCCATTTGGCACTAAGGATAGGGCTGAAATGCTCCTTAGCCCAATTTATCGTTCCCTTTTCTTCTTCAAACACTCCCTTCTGGCTTTTTTATTCATTTGTTTATTATTTATTATAATCCGGCAGAGGCTAGATTCAAACCTAGGCCATCTTGTTCCAGACCCAAGGCGCCTGCCCTCCCATCAGTGGCCATCTTCTGGCTCTCAGCATCCTGTTTGCCTAATGTTCCTTTCTTTCTTTTTCTTCTTTATTATTATTATTATATATATATTTATTTTTGAGATGGATTCTCCCTCCGTCACCCAGGCTGGAGTACAATGGCGAGATCTTAGCTCACTGCAACCCCTGCCTCCTGGGTTCAAGTGATTATCCTGCCACAGCCTCCTGAGTAGCTGGGACTATAGGTGCCTACCACCACACCTGGCTAAATTCTGTATTTTTTAGTAGAAACAGGGTTTCACCATGTTGGCCAGGCTGGTCTCAAACTCCTGATTTCAGGTGATCAGCCTGCCTCGGCCTCCCAAAGTGCTGTGATTATAAACGTGAGCCACCACCTCTGGCCTCTTCGTTTTTTGTTTTTTTGAGAGTGTCTTATTTTATTGACCCAGCTGGGGTACAGCGGCACGAACCCAGCTCACTGCAGCATTAACCTCTGGGACTCAAGTGGATCTCCTGCCTCAGCCCCCCCATTTAGCTGGGACTATAGGCACACCACACCTGGCTAATCTTTGTATTTTTTGTAGAGACAGGGTTTCACCGTCTTGCCCAGGCTGGTCTTGAACTCCTGAGATCAAGCAATCAGCTCACCTCAGCCCCCCAAAATGGTGGGATTACAGGTGTGAGCCACTGTGCAGGCCCTGACATTCCTTTCTATTCGAGAAGCGAGTAGCCACTCTCTTGTTAAACTGAGAGAGGGGCTGGGGCATGGTGGCTCATGCCTGTAATCCCAACACTTTGGAAGAGCAAGGCAGGCAGATTGCTTGAGCCCAGGAGTTCGAGATTGCACCACCAAACTCCAGCCTGGGTGACAGACTGAGTCCCTGTCTCAAAAAACACAAACAAAACTGAGAGAGACTGTGAGTCTAGTAACTGCCTGGGAATTAGACCCTTTTCCTGATGCCTGCTTAGATTCAGGCCTGGGTCAGTTTTCCTTCAGGATAGTTAGTTGCAGCCCCTCCCCTTCTTCATTTACAACTTTTTCTGAATTGGTGTTACCTGATGGTGCTCTAGGACCTGTTCATAGTAGTTTGGTGGGTCTGAGGTTAGTGTCAACAGAAGCCAGTCTCAGCTGGCCTTCTGCTCCATCAACTATAGTTTTTTTCTTTCTTTCTTTTTTTGTTTTTATTTGAGACAAGGTCTGACTGTATCACCCAGTCTTCAGTGCGGCAGTGCAATCACAGCTCACCACAGCCTCTACTTCTCAGGCACAGGTGATTCTACCACTTAAGCTTCCTGAGTAGCTGGGACTAAAGGCATGTACCACCACATTCAACTAATTTTTTGTATGTTTAGTATAGATGGGGTTTTGCCACGTCATCCAGGCTATCCAACTCCTGGACTCAAGTGTTCTGCCCACCTCACCTCCCAAAGTGCTGTGATTACAGGCACTAGCCACCATGCCCGGCCGTGTTTTCTTTTATAATAGAAATATCGTTTTGGGCTGGGCACAGTGGCTCATGCTTGTAATCCCAGCACTTTGGGAGGCCAAAGCAGGCCTAGGCAACATGGCGAAACCCTGTCTCTACAAAAATTACAAAAAATTAGTTAGGTATTGTGGCATCCAGCTGTGGTCACAGATACCAGCAAGGCTGAGGTGGGAGAATGACTCGAGCCTGGGAAGTTGAGGCTGCAGTGAGACAAGATCACACCCCTGCACTCCAACCTGAGTGACAGAGCAAGACCCTGTCTCAAATAAATAAAAAAGAAAAACATTTTTGGCCAGGTACAGTGACTCAGTGGCTCACGCGAGTAATCCTAGCACTTGGGAGGTGGAGGCAGAAGGATCGCTTGAGCTGAGGAGTTTGAGACCATCCTGGGCAACACAGTGAGACCTTGTCCCTACAAACAACAACAAAATATTTTTTGTTTTCTTATCTTAAAGAGGAGTTCTGTACCTTGGCCCTTGAAATTGAGATAAGCTTTTAACTTCAGAAGTCTTCAGTCAACAGTTTGCCTTCCTCGTCTCTGAGTTGGTGCCCTGAACCCTCTATTGTTGGTGGTTTCCCTGTTTGGCAGAGGCAAAGCAGTGCTGGGTCCCTGCAGAGGCAGCAGGGCCTCGTTTTTCCTATGTTGACAGGCACCTGCTTAGGCTGTTCTGGGAACACCCAAAAAGTGCCAGGTCCCCCGCATTGTCCATGCTGCCACCTTCGTGTTGAACGACATCTTTTGGCGCCATTTGGTTCTGACTTCAGCTTCACCATTCCTTCCAGGGTGAGCTGCATGTCTCTAAACTCTTCAGCCATCCCAATATCGTGCCATATCGAGCCACCTTTATTGCAGACAATGAGCTGTGGGTTGTGACATCATTCATGGCATATGGTGAGTGGAAAGGGTTCCTGGTAGAAAGGGGTTCTGGGACTCTGTTGTCGGATTGCCTGTGTTTTCCTTCTCCATTACCTTTTGCTGCCTTCATGCAGTCCTTTTCTCCAGGTTCTGCAAAGGATCTCATCTGTACACATTTCATGGATGGCATGAATGAGCTGGCAATCGCTTATATCCTGCAGGGGGTGCTGAAGGCCCTTGACTACATCCACCACATGGGATACGTACACAGGTGAGTTCTTAGGCGGCCTCTCCCATGATTACAGTGGGTAGCTGTGCCCCTGAGCCTTCAGGTAAACAGGTAAAGTTTGACTGAAGTTAATGAAGCTAGAGTTTAAAATCAAGGATTTGGATTCTTGCTGAGGATCTCTTTGCTATAAAAAGGGCAGGCGCAGTGGCTCATGCCGGTAATCCCAGCACTTTGGGAGGTCGAGGTGGGCGGATCACAAGGTCCGGAGTTTGAGACCAGCCTGACCAACATAGTGAAACCCCGTCTCCACTAAAAATACATAAATTAGCCAGGTGTGGTGGCACATGCTTGTAGTCCCAGCCTGGGTGACAGAGTGAATCTCTGTTTTTGTTTTTGTTTTTTTTGAGATGGAGTCTTGCTCTGTCGCCAAGCTGAAGTTTAGTGGTGCAATCTCAGCTCACTACAACCCCCACCATCTAGGTTCTTGCAATTCTCCTGCCTCAGCCTCCTGAGTAGCTGGGACTACAGGCGTATGCCTCCATGCCTGGCTAATTTTTTGTATTTTAGTAGAGACGGGGTTTCACCATGTTGCCCAGGCTGGTCTCGAACTCCTGAGCTCAGGCAATCTGCCTGCCTCGACCTCCCAAAGTGCTTGAATTACAGGTGTGAGCTACCACGCCTGGCCTAATTTTTGTATTTTTAGTAGTGATGGGGTTTCACCATGTTGGCCAGAATAGTCTCAATCTCTTGACCTTGTGATCCACCCACCTTAGCCTCCCAAAGTGTTGGGATTACAGGCATGAGCCACGGTGCCCAGCCTGAGACTGTTAAAAAAAAAAAGAAAGAAAAGAAAAAGAAGGAGCATCTGGATTCTGACCTTGCCAGTGACTTCAGGGATGGTCACTTAGACTGTTAGTGCTGAAGCCACTGACTTTCTCTTTGCTGAGCAGCTTGGTCCTGAGTGTTGCGTGAGAGGACTGTCTGACATGGACCTTTGTACTCCACCCTCTGCCTCCTCCTTTCTGTGCCCCAGAGTCAGTCTTATGTCAAGAGACCAGGAAAAAGACATATGTTAGTAGATGGTGTCGGGAAATCAGCTCGTAGTAGGGAAGATGGTGAACTGGACCCCTACCTAACTCCTTATATGAGGAGGACTCCAGCTGGATTAAAGGCTTACATGTAAAACTTAAAACTACAGACTTAAATAGAAGGAAATGTGAGAAAATGCTTTTGTGACCTGAGGCATAGAATAACTGCTCAACATTTTAGAAGCATAAAACATAAGACAAAAGATTGATGAATTTGTTTAGATCAAGAAGATTTCTATTCAATAAAAAATACTGTGAAAACAGTTAAGAAACAATTGACACACAGTGGATGATGTTAGCTTTGTCAACACAGGAGATTAGTAACAGGGAAATCTTGCAAATCAACAAGAAATGGACAGGAAAGCAAGAAAAATGGACCAAAGATACGAAGTTTACAAAAGAGGAAACCCCAAGACAAGCCATCATAGGAACAGCCACTCAAATCTCACAATCAGATAAAAGCAAATGAAAACAAGATGTCACCTTATATACATGAGATTGCCAATGGTTAGGAGGCCGAGCGAGTCCCAGTGTGGTAAGGATGGGGCAGCCTCCTATCCAGATAGTGGAAGATGGCCAGGTGCTGCCAGTCAGGGTCACAGAACCAGAACCATCAAGGCCAATTCTCGATGTATACCCTAAAGAAACCTTCATGCAGACCAATCACGGGACATGTTTGGATGTCACCATTCACACGTCTGTTGGTTCGGGGTAATGTGAGTGTCTGTCCCCAGAAGGATGGATGAGTAAAAGTGTTACATTTCTTCCCAGAGCAAAGGTGACAATTAAAAGCAAAGATGAAAGGTCCACAGCTAGCAACACAGATGTGTCTGGAAACCACACCCCTAAGTGAAAAAGGAAGAATGGGATATGGAACACAGTATCCCTAGGTACACTTTACAAGAGTCCTACAAATAAAAAGTACAGATTAAAAGCATTCATTGGAGGTAGAGCAAGAGGTGGTCTAGAGCATACAGGAGCACTCAACAGTCCCAGTACTCTGAGAGGCCAAGATGGGTGGATCACTTGAGGTCAGGAGTTTGAGACCAGCTTGGCCAATATGGCAAAACCCCATCTCTACTAAAAATAAAAAAATTAGCCAGGCATGGTAGTGGGTGCCCATAATCCCAGCTACTTGGGAGGCTGAGGTAGGAGAATCACTTGAACCCAGGAGGTGGAGGTCGCAATGAGCCATGATCATTCCATTGCACTTCAGCCTGGATGACAGAGCTAAATAAGCTTTTAATCTGGTGATATGTAAATGGGGTCATGCTATTTTATGTAGGTTTGGAGTTTTTCATCAAAACATGTTTTTAGCTGGGTGGGGTGTCAGCACTTTGGGAACGTAAGGGGTGGATCTCTTGAAGTCAGGAGTTTGGGACCAGGCTGACATAGTGAAACACTGTCTCTACTAAAAATATAAAAACTAGCTGGAGGTGGTCGCATGTGCCTGTAGTCCCAGCTACTGAGGAGGCTGAAGCAGGAGAATCACTTGAACCTGAGACGGAGGTTGTGCTGAGACAAGATTGCACCATTGCATTTCAGCCTGGGCAACAAGAGCGAAACTCTGTCTCAAAAAAAAAATAACCAAAACCTGATTATAGTCTGGGCACAGGGGCTCACACCTATAATCGAGCACTTTGGGAGGCCAAAGCAGGCAGATCACTTAAGGCCAAGAGTCCAAGACCAGCATGGCAACATGGCGAAACCCCATCTAATATATAACCTGGCTAATGTTTATACTAAAAATGTAAACATTAGCCAGGTGTGGTGGTACACACCTATAATCCCAGCTGTTTGGATGGCTGAGGCACAGGAATTGCTTGAACCCAGGAGACAGAGATTGCAGTGAGCCTAGATTGCACCACTGCACTCCAGCCTGGTGACAGAGTGAGACTGTCTCAATAAAAACAAAAACATGGTTATGTATATGTAAAATACACATATACATGTATAACCCCATGTGCACGGGGGAGAGCTGGCCCTGTCTAGAGGGACTCCTTCCTGCTTTCTATGACACCCTTCCCACCTCCCCAGGAGTGTCAAAGCCAGCCACATCCTGATCTCTGTGGATGGGAAGGTCTACCTGTCTGGTTTGCGCAGCAACCTCAGCATGATAAGCCACGGGCAGCGGCAGCGAGTGGTCCACGATTTTCCCAAGTACAGTGTCAAGGTTCTGCCATGGCTCAGCCCCGAGGTCCTCCAGCAGGTCTGTGCATGGGCCCCAAGGAGGCCCCTTACCCAACTCATGATTCTCAAGGGAGCCTTCAGGCATTGCCTGGGGTTAGGTGCTCTTAGTCTCCCAGTGGGGTAAAAGGGGTTCCTGGAGGGAGGGAGCCCTCAGCGTGGGCAGTGCCTGTTCATTGCAGATGGATGTGGTTCCCCCAGGGGAGTCCTAACCTCTACCAGATGCTGTTGCAGCTCCCTTCAAGGACTCTTGCCACCCTATGAGAAGAGTGAGCATTTTGGAAATGTTTGGTGCTCTCTGGATCCCTGTACTAAGCAGGGGAATGGGGCTGGCACCTCCTGCTCCTTACAGAGCATCACCAAACAGTTGCCGGTGGTGAAATAGCAGTTAGTCTTCAGTAACACAGGCAAGGAGAGCCATTAGCAGCAGGTCCTGATTTGGGGACCACCATCCTTTTCCTCTCCTTAGTTCTACCCTTTTTCTAAGAACAAAGAACAAATGAGGTCATCTGTGGCCTTTTTTTTCCTGGCTTAGAATCTCCAGGGTTATGATGCCAAGTCTGACATCTACAGTGTGGGAATCACAGCCTGTGAACTGGCCAATGGCCATGTCCCCTTTAAGGATATGCCTGCCACCCAGGTAAGCCTGCTGCCTGTTGGGTTCCTTCTTGCCTGCCTGCCTTCCACAAATGTTCATTGAGTATCTGCTGCACTCAGGACACAGAGCAGGAATACTAAGATGAAAGACCCTGTCTTTTCTGTCAATCAGTCCCACCTTGTAGGGGATGGTGGCCTTACTCTTTGTTTACTTCCTGTGGCAAATTCGGTGGTTAGGGAGCCCGGCTTGGGGAGGGGAACTCGGGAGCAGGGGTGCAAATCAAGGCCCACATGCCGCATGTCTATTTAAAACATATAAATCAAGCTAACCAATCTTTATAAATTTATAAAATATGTTCTATCTTCCCACTTGGATGAATATATCTGGAAGGTCAGTTTCTAGTTTAGGATTCCCACAGTTCTCAGAGTTCCGTGCCACCGAATTCTAGCCAACACCTTTGGAACCTGCATTCTGCAAGTTCAGCTTCTGTTCATGCCCCTCCAGATGCCTGGCCTCTGGCCACCCCTCGGACCAAAGGGTGCAGAGTCAGTGGCACAGTCTACTCTTTGGAAGACAGACCCAGGGAAGAGGCTTATCCAGGCCTCATTAAATCCAGAAAGTGGATTTGGGGTCATTTGAGCAAGGATTACCTGGGTCCCAGGTACTTGGAGTATGGTCTAGAACTGGGAGGAGTAGGATGCAGGCTCTGAGCGAGCCACTTCTGGAACCCACAGGCTGCTTGCCTGGTGGTAGGAGCAGCTAGCTGGAGAGTGGCCAGAGTACAGCCCCCCCAGAGCAGGGTCCAAGGGAGGTCCTGGGAGGAGTCAGCCTTGAGTTGGAAGACAGACAGCTGTCACCTGTGTGGAGGAGGAAGTAGGACACTCTTGGCAGAGAAAGCGGCATGTGCAGAGACCCAGAATCGAGAAAAAACAGGATCTGGAGAACAGCAAGGAGGTATAAATGGCCAAGGTGCAGTGCTTCTTGGGGGCTGCAGAAGGAAACAAGGGTACATTGTGAAGGGCTTGGATGCCGCTTTAGAGCACTGGTTCCTGTCACAAAGCCTGTGGAGCAGTGATGAAGGATTGTAAGCACAGGCGTGATAGCATAAGATAGTTCGTTTAGATAGATCACCCTGTCAGATGGATTCGATCCAGCAGACCAGTTAGGATGGTGTGAAAATCTAGGTGAGGAGTCTAGGAGAGCTCAGTAAAATAATTTAGTGACAGGATGCTCAGGAAAGAATTAAAAGGCAATTGAGGATGAACAAGAGGTCCAGTCCTAGAAGCAGCATCATCCACTAGAATTTGCTGCAGGGAAAGAAGGGTCCTGTGGCTGCAGTGTCCAGGGAGGGAGCCATGAGACTGTGTGGCTGTTGAGCATTTAGAATGTGACCATTGAGATTGAGGGACTGAATTTGAAACCTAATTTAAATAGAAATAGCCACAAGTGGCTAGTGGCTATCACATTAGTGCAGCTCTAGAGTGATTTCCAACTTTCTGGCTCAGACACCTTATGGGGTTATGAGGACTTCACGAGGACAGCAGTCCCCAGGTGGGGCTGGATTTATGTGTGTTGAGTTGGGACGCTTTGGAACAGCCACCCAGCCTGGACTTCCCTTGGGCACCTTGCTCCCATGTGGCCTGCTACAGCGACAGCCCAAGCTGTGGCACTGCCAGTGCTACCTCGCAGACCTCATTGGATCCATCCGGACATGGCAGACAGCTGTGCTTCAAAGCAGGTAACCTGGCTGCTCCTTCCTGCTAGGGTGAGGACTCTACGGTAAAAGGAATTTGATGCCTTGTAAAGGGAGAGAGGAAACTGTGAGCAGTGTTTTCCAGCCATGGCGAAAGGGGGTACTTTTGTGCAACCCCTCTCCTTTTCATGTTGGCCTAGCTAGGGTGTACCTGCCATACCAGTGACCAGCATTTCTTTGCGAAAATTAGACTTACTCCACTTCATCTTTTTCTGGTCTCAAATGATCACATTTGCATATTTGGAAAAGTATATTTGTGAAGAGACTCTCTGGGCCTTCCGGGGCCCCCTCCAGCCCAGGCCCTGGTTCTTTCCTCCCCAGATGCTGCTTGAGAAACTGAACGGCACCGTGCCCTGCCTGCTGGATACCAGCACCATCCCCACCGAGGAGCTGACCATGAGCCCTTCGCGTTCAGTGGCCAACTCTGGCCTGAGTGACAGCCTGACCACCAGCACCCCCCGGCCCTCCAACGGTGACTCGCCTTCCCACCCCTACCACCGAACCTTCTCCCCCCACTTCCACCATTTTGTGGAACAGTGCCTTCAGCGCAACCCGGACTCCAGGTATTCCTGTTGGCCTGGGCCTGGGCTTCGGGAAAGCAGAGGGTGCTCAGGAGGTAAGGCCAGGGTGTGAAGGGACAGACGAACCCCTCAAAGGTTCTGCAGGGTCAGAGCTCCCAGGAGGAATGTGAAGCTACACACAGGAGGGATGACCTCCTGGGTGTGTAAGAGGGCAGCCTGGGGAGCTCTGGCCACTGCTGCTCAGTCAGCTCAGGGAGAGGTAGAGGCTGAGGCATAAGCAGCAGGATTTTGGGAAGCTGGGGCACGGCAGTGACCTGTGATCTCTCCACCCCTTTCCCTCCAGGCCGAGCGCCAGCACCCTCCTGAACCACTCATTCTTTAAGCAGGTACCGTAGCCCCTTCCCGAGGCTCCCTGTTTTTTTCTTGCCTCTGTTTCTAAGGATTCACAATCCCTTTAACTTTGGGCTTTTCAGGTATTCTCTCCCATCCCTTTGAATGAGAGAATTTATCCCACTTCCAAAGCCCCTGAAAGGCCCTGCTCCTTCCTCTTGTAGAATTGGTTCTGTCAGCCCATCTGCCACTGGGCTTCCTTGCCCGGTGGTGTCCTGGGACCCAGAGCAACAGGATCCATCACCCACCTCTCTCTTCTCCTCCAGATCAAGCGACGTGCCTCAGAGGCTTTGCCTGAATTGCTCCGTCCTGTCACCCCCATCACCAATTTTGAGGGCAGCCAGTCTCAGGACCACAGTGGAATCTTTGGCCTCATAACAAACCTGGAAGAGCTGGAGGTAGACGATTGGGAGTTCTGAGCCTCTGCAAACTGTGTGCATTCTCCAGCCAGGGACGCAGAGGCCCTTCCTGAGGGCTGGCCACACTCCCACCCTCCTGGGCAGATTGGGTAGAAAGGACATTCTTCCTGGAAAGGTGGCTGCTGACTGATTGGGAAAGAAAATCCTGGAGAGATGTTTCTTCACTGCTCCAAGGCTTCTGAGAAACAAGAGAATCTCAACAACTAGGGATTGGGAGGGTGCAAAGCCAACATTCCCAGTCCTGTGAGCTCAGGTGACCCCTGCAGAAGGAAGAGATGCTGTTCTGGCCCTGGGAGCTGAATTCAGAGCCCAGGGTTTGACTCATTAACCCCGAGGACTGCCACCTCTTCCCAGTGCTTGCGACCAGCCTCATTCTGTTTAACTTTGCTCTCAGATCCTATAGGTTATTGAAAGGGCAGGTAGTAAGCTGCCTGCCTCCCTTCCCCCAGACCTCGCCCTTATAATTGCCGAGAAGGGTATTTCTGTCTTTTTAAGCACAGACTAAGGCTGGGACAGTCCATCCTTATCCCTATTCTAGCTTGGGCCCTGACACCTAAATCTCTCCCAGGGTTTATGTGTGTGCCTCATTCCTTTCCCATGAAGAACCCATCATAGCACCTTCTGCCAGCTTCCCTGGTGCTTTCTCCAAGGGTCATCAGTGTCTTGCCTAGCTTGAGGGCTTAAGTCCTTATGGTGTGTTAGTTTTGTTGTCAAAACAAATTAAAATTTCCAGAGACCCTGCTGGAGAATGGCATTGTGTCTACATCAGCTCAGGGGCTACAGGCTGCTTCCTGGTGCTTGTGCTTGCAGGGATGGCCATGCTACCCCAGATGAGAACCATCCTGCCATCCAAGAGCAGGCCCAGGGTGCTATCGGAAGCTCAGCAGTGGCCTCTTTCACTTGATAGACCAGTTTCTCTTAAAACCCATAATCTGTCTCTTAACTATCTAAAATTTTAAGACTGTGAATGTTAGCCTGTGGCCATCAAACCACTTTGGAACTAAAAATGTCCAAAGATTGAAACTGAGACAGAGGACGTTGGCAGCCTTTGGCAGGAAAGGAGGTAGAAAGGTTTGTCTTGCAACCTGACCTGGATGTCTCCTTACCCTGGGTGCTAGCACCCAAAGAGCAGGAAAGCTACGACCAAGCCCCACTCATCCCTGCCATGCTGGCTGGCACCGAGTATGAGCAAGGGTGTGGTGCAAATATGGGCCTCCCACAGTTCTTCCAAGGCACATGGCTTACCCCTCTCCCAGTCCCTCGGGGAAGCCCCCCACCCACCAGCTCAGGCACCTCAAACGCCCCTCTACCCTAAAGCTGCACTGAACCATCGGGTGCCCTCACTTTCCATTTTCTCCCAAATTTTAACAGCCGTTTAAAGAGAAGTAAACCTCTGGGCAATGAGAAGCCAAGATGACAGGAATGACACTGACCCTGGGCTAGGATGGGGACCTGGGGTGAGTGAGTGAGGAGCTGGGGAAGTCATTTCCAGCCCTCCCCCTGCTTTAAACCTCAAGACCCCCCCCTGCCAACAGAGTCACTCTGACACCAGGGTGGAGTATACTGGCATCATCTCAGCTCACTGCAACTTCCACCTCCCAGGTTTAAGCAATTCTGCTTCAGCGTCCCGAGTAGCTGGTATTGCACATGCCACCATACCCAGATAATTTTTGTATTTTTAGTTAAATGGGGTTTCACCATGTTGGCCAGGCTGGTCTCGATCTTCTGACTTCGTGATCGGCCTCCCAACGTGGTGGGATTACGGGCGTGAGTCACCGCCCAGCCAAGTTACCTTTTCTTTAGCACTGGTCATCTTATCAGTTTACTTTGCTTCCAGATGCCTTCTGCACGTTGGCTGTCGGTGCATCCTCAATGCCCACCTGCAGCTCAGCCCACAGGCCCGTCCTGGGCAGGGTGCCAGGGTCTCACTGTACCCAGTGGCAAGGAGCCCTGCTCCTGGTGCCCCAGGCTTCCTGTTTTTTGCATCAAACAGCCCCTTTGGAGAATCTGATGACAGGTTTGAAAGCTTTCCTGAGAGGCAGCCAGTTTGAGAGTCTGACATTCCCCACTCCCACTGTGGGAGTCGGCCACAGTACAGGCAAAACGCAGATCTTCCTCTAGAGAGAACAGAAGGCTTGGAGGAGAGACGCGGAGCCGTTGCATGGAATGGCTGGGAGCTGGAGGAGAGACGCGGAGCCGCCAACCTGGGAAACAGCTGGGAGCTGGGGAAGCTGCAGCCTCCCAAGCTTCCCTGCCAGGCTTCGGGCAGGGAGTTGTTCGCTCGCTGACAAACGCGTGGGCCGCGCTCTGGGGCCGTCAGTGCTATTCCTGCCACAGTGTGGGAAGGCGCTGTGCTTCCAGGAGCAGTTTCCAGCCTGATTTCAGGCAAAGCCACGCAGTCCCTGGTGCCCGGGAAGGTGCCGGCCTCCCCGCAGCTCCAGACGCCTGCAGTGCCTCTGGCACTGTGCGGCTGCAGAGCGGGAGCAGCTTTGCGGCCTGAGCTCTGTCACCTCAGCTCTCCGGGCCGCGGCTCCCACGTGAGAAATGAGGTGCCCTTGTTGGAGGGGCCTCCCGCAGGGGTCGGGGTTGCTGCCCACAGAATCCCGCCCCAGAAACGCATGAGGACGTCGAGCCTCAGGGGTCGGGTGCTCCAGGAACCACGCGCAGCGGCCTCCGCGCCAGTCGCAGGGTTGCAGAGGCGTGAAGTGCTGGTGGGGCCGCCAGGCCCTTGTACAGGCTCAACGGCGAGCTGGCGCCCCGGGCTCCTCCCCGCGGCCTCGCGGCGGGGCCTGGTGACCGCGTGCCCGGACGCCATCGCTAGCCTCGTGGGCTGCAAGGGCGCCGGGGCGGCCCCTGGCGGCCGGAGGACTCGGCGGCCCGAAGGACCCGGGCCGGGCCCCGGGGTCACCCCAGCGGGGTGTCTGAGACTCCACAGCTAAGTGCGGTGATGGGGGCGCCGGCGCTTGCGCGCGAGGCCACCCGGGGAAAATCGAGGCAGTGAACGGCCCAAGCCCAGCCCCGTTATCCCGGAGCCACGCCGGGAGCGCCCGGTGCCTGCGACCGCAGCTGCCGCAGCCTGAACTCGTCCCCTCCCCGAGGGATGCGGAGCGCGGCCCTTCCATCCTGTCCCCGCCACCGTGGCTTCCCCACGCCAGGCCACTCGGGGCCCCGGCGCTGTTGGGATGAGCAGACGGCGCGGCCAGTTCCTGAGGCCTGCGAGCGCGGGGCTCGCGGGGCGCTGTGGGGCCCGGAGCGCGGGGTCGGGGCGGGGGACAGACAAAGGCGAGGAGGGCGGCGAGGCGAAGACAAAGCGCGGAGGGGGGTCGGCGGCGCCGGGGCCCTGGAGGCGGCTCCGGGCGCGGCGGAGCCAATGGGCGGGCGCAGGGCGGGGGCCGGCGGGGGCGGTGCCGCGATAAGGCGGTGGCGGCGGCGGCCGCTCGGGGACCACTGGCAGCGGCGGCAGCTCGCGCCCGCGTCCTCCTCGCACCCGTGCGTCCCCGGAGACGGATCCCGCCCCGCGGCCCAGGCCGGGTCGGGTGAGAGCCGCGGGGGGAGGGGCCAGGTCCGGCTCCGGAACCGGGTGGAAAATGCCGAGGGGTGGGGCGAGCATCGCCCGCGGGGTCCTGGCGAGTCCGCGCGCCGCTCTGGTCCGGGGTGCCCGGGCTCTAGTCCCCGCTTCAAGGCCGGCCCCTGGCGTGGCGGAGCCGAGTCCCGCTGGCGGGGCTCGCGGCCTCGGGGTCTGGGGTCCAGTCCTCGCCGGGCCGGGGCAGGGGTGGAGGGGCGGGGCGGTGGGGACCTCGAGCGCTGTCCAGGGGCTGCGCAGCCGAGGCCTGGGCGCGCGGGCGCGGCGCGGGGCAGCGAGGGCAGGGTTCAGGTTGGGGCAGCGGCTTCTCGTAGCGGCCCCGCCCGCCCCGACGTTCACTCACCCCAGGTGGGGTCCCGGCCTGCGGAGCGCAGAGGGCGTCTGTGCGGGAGCCCCCCGGCTCCCTCCGCTCCCGCTAACTTTGTTCTTCCGAAGGCACGGTGCCACTCGGGATCCCGGCCCCCGGGGAGCAGGGGTGGGTGAGGTGGGTGAGGGGAGGAAGTGGCAAGACGAAGAGCAACAGGAAATGACTTAGGGAAAGTCCCAACCGCAATCCCCCCAGCCCCTGCCTGTCAACACCCCCCACCCTGCAGGCTGGGGCCCTCCCCAGCCTGACTTCCTCTTGCAGAACCCATCGGGTGTCGCGTCTCCACCCGGGGCTTCCACCTCCAACGAGCCATGTTCCAGGCTGCAGGAGGCGCCCAGGCCACCCCCTCTCATGTAAGTGCCCGGACAGGTGGGAGAGCCCCCCGGGCAGAAGCCTGGCCTGGGGTGAAGGGGAGAAGTGCGGGCGTTTGCCGGCCCCTTTTGTCCCCTGCGACGAGCCTCTGGTCCTGGGCTGATGGCTGCAGCCGTGGTCCAGGGCCTCCCGGAGCTGCCCTGCCTTGACCAGCCCTCTCCCTCAGGAAGCCAAAGGCAGCAGCAGCAGCACGGTGCAGCGCTCCAAGGTAGGGGCCTGGGGCCGGGTGTGCGGGAGGAGGGGCGTGGGGGAGCGGGGTGGGCTCTGGGCATCCCCTGGCTGAGCCTCCCGCACAGTCCTTCAGCCTGCGGGCCCAAGTGAAGGAGACATGCGCCGCCTGTCAGAAGACAGTGTACCCCATGGAGCGGCTGGTGGCCGACAAGCTCATTTTCCACAACTCTTGCTTCTGCTGCAAGCACTGTCACACCAAGCTCAGGTGCGCCCCTGCCCTGCCCTCCCCCTTGCCTGCCAGCCCAGCCCCGACCAGGCTTGACCTGAGGACGTTGTTTGGCTTCCGCAGCCTGGGCAGCTATGCCGCGTTGCACGGGGAGTTCTACTGCAAACCCCACTTCCAGCAGCTGTTTAAGAGCAAAGGCAACTACGACGAGGGGTTTGGCCGCAAGCAGCACAAGGAACTCTGGTCCCGCAAGGAGGTGGACCCCGGCACCAAGACGTCCTGAGGCCCCTGCAACCTTCCACCCCCTCCGCCGGCAGGGGGAAGGTTGGGAAGGAGGTCGAGCTGGGCTTGCGTGGGGGCCAGGTGGGAAGGGGATGAGGCTTACTCAGGTGGAGGGGCCCAGGGGCAGGGCTCTGCTCCATGACTCCTTCCTTCCTTGTCCCGCAGTGGGTGAGGGTTTGGGAACCAGGATTGGGGTCTGCCCACCACCCTGCTTCCTGCTTCTTTCAGCCGTCCTCCCCACCTCACCCCAGGACCCCCTAGGAGGCCCCCATGCCCAGCTTCCCTATCTAGGTGCCTTTTCTCCAGCAAGGAGTCAGCATGCCCCGCTCAGGGTCTCAAGCTCCCTCACTGCCACTGGAGGCTGTGTGGCCCCCGAATCTTCCCATCTACCTCTACCCTTAACCTGGTTCTGAGCCACGGAGGAGACAGAGAGGAAGGAGCACAACAGTGCTACCTGTTGGGCCTCATACTGCACCTGCAGCCCACAGGGGAGGGGATGAGGAAGTGGAGCCACCCTCCCTCATCAGGGCAAGTGGGACTTGGGACCATCTCGCACCACCAGCATGGAGAAGCGGATGCTAAAGCATTCACAAGGCTGCAGCCTCAGGCACTGGCAGGGGCTGGTGCGGCCCCGCTCCCCTCCCACTCCCCCATTTCTGCCTACCCTGTTTTGACCAACCACGTTTTAAACATGTTTCAACAGATCTGGATTCTCTATTGTGTGGCCTGCTGGGGGATTTGTCGCAGGAAGGGTGCAGATTCACCATGGGTAGGGCATGGGGACTAGAAGTGGGTGTCAGACACACCATTGAGAAATGGGAGGGCTCCTCTTCCCAGCAAGGGCTTCATGCTGTCACACCCACAGCAGTTTTGAAACTGAAACTCCACCTCACCCCTCAGACCCACTGACTACCACATGCACCCCATTGTGTAAAGGCCTGAAAGCGGGAGGGCTAGGCAACCAGTGGGTGATGCTGCCTGTCCTCGATGCACTTCAGTGTTGGGGGTGCAAGCTGCCATGCTCCCTGGCTGGTTCCAGCTGTCTAGCTCCCTTCTTTCCAGCCCTTTGACCTGGAAGTTAGTGACAAATGGCGGGAAGCAGCAAGTGCAGCCCAAGGGTTTAGTGACCCCTGCACTGTCCCTCCTCATCATTCCCCCTCATTGCTGTCATCATCCCCTTACCTTTTCAAGCTCTGGGGTGAAGCAGTCACAGCTACTGTCCTACGAAGTCCAAGGAGAAACCATCTGCTCCTCTGAAAACCCGGGGATAATGAGGGATGAGTTTACAACAGACCAAACCAGGCAAACGGGGAGGACCTGAGGGCTCCCTGGTGGGACACAGGCAGGAAGTCTGGGTTGTCCTGCTCCAGATCTAGCTTCCTGATGTTTCCAGACATGGGGTAGATGAGAACAGTCCTGAAGGGTTTGGGGCCACCACACTATACAACTGCCCAAGTTTCTAAGTGGCCTTCTCTCCATGGAACAGGGCAGCGAGCTGGGCCACAGGCTCCGGTGTCACATAAGCCACTGTGCTGAGGCACACAATGCTCCTTGAAGAGCGAATACTCAGTAAAGATGGTCCCCTAGGCCTGGTCCCTCCAAGTATGAAGCGAGCAACTCAACCTCTCAGGGCAGGCCAACTTCCTGCAACAGAGGTCTCAGATGGTGACAAGGTCAGTCTTTTTTCGGTTAAGCAACAGCAGATGGGCCACAAGGGGATACTGGAGAGGTGGCTCTTGGACCCCTGCCCTGTAAAGATGGGACTCAAGGAAGTCCTGGGCCAGGAAGACCCTACAAGATGCCATGAAGGCTCTGGGAACCCAGCCACTGGTGACATTCAAGTTGTGAGGGCCAGCAATGCCACCTTGGTAAATCAGCCCTGAGGGGACCACCCCAGTGGAGCTCGTGGAGGAAAGGGGCAGACACCTCTCAGTACCAGCCAGGTCATCCCAGGACCTCTCTACTTAAGAGTCAAGTTCTCTTCTTGAGAGGCCCAAGCTCGTTGCCAGGCACCAGACCCAGCCTGTCAGGCAAAAACCTCCATCCCCTGCAATTGAAAGCACCGCCACAGGACCCTCTGATATAAATGATCCCTTTTATTGTAAGTAATGCGCAACACTGGCCTGGCTTTGCACTGCAAGCCCTCGGTCAAGATATAGTCAAATAACTATGGCTGCAGGTTGTTCTGCATGATCCACAATTCAGACACAGACGCAGAGCTAGGGTGGGAGGGGCAGGAGGGCGGCAGAGTGTGGACTGTCACCAGCCCTGGCCTCTGCATGCAAAGTTGGCCCAGGCAGACACACCCCATGGAATGATGAGAAAGTGACGCAGCCCCTTCTCACAGCAAGCCTGAGGCTGCCAGGAAACTGACCTTCAGAACCTTCGGGCCCAGGTCATCCTGAAGCCCCAAACTTTTTATCTGGATTATTAAAAAACAATAAATTAAAATTAAGCAACAACTTGGTCCTGAGGATGCTGAGCCAGCATGTCCACAGTTTTTGGCACAAAAAATTAGGGTCTGTTTTGCTTTTTTGGAGTGTATGGTTTGTTGGCTTGTCTTCAAATTCATTTTTAAAACACATTCCCAGCTGGGTGCAGTGACTCATGCCTGTAATCCCAGCAGTTTGGGAGGCTGAGGCAGGCCGATCATGAGGCCAGGAGTTCAAGACCAGCCTGGCCAATTTGGTGAAACCCTGCCTCTCCTAAAAATACAAAAATTAGCTGGGTGTGGTAGCACACACCTGTAGTCCCAGGTTCTCAGGAGGCTGAGGCAGGGGAATTGCCTGAACCTGGGAGGTGAGGGCTGCAGTGAGCTGAGATCATGCCACTGCACTCCAGCCGGCAACAGAGTGAGACTCTTGTCTCCAAAAAAAAAAAAAAATTCCCAGTGAGGTACCACCCCAGGGGGTGGGGCTCTGTGAGCCTGAACCTGGGACACACAGTAGAGTCAGCCAGCACTGTGCTCTGTATCCTCTTAGGGAACAGGGACTGGGGATGGGGGTGCGGACCAGGAGGAGTGTGCAGCCAGCAGGATGGGGTCACGGAGAGGCCGAGCTGCCACACAGCAGCTTTGGTCGAGGTAAGGGCCAGGCCCCACCCTGGGCAAGGGCCGAGGTGAAGCAGGAGCCTATGCTGTCTTCAGAGGACAGTGTGGGGTGCAGGGGCCGACAGAGCCCCTGGGGGAAAAGGGATGGAAACAGAGGGGTCTAGGCCCAACTGGCACCATGTGACACACACTTCTGCAAAACCAGCTGCTTTCATTTTCTCTTCTCTCTCTCGAGGCGTCCATCACCTGTAACAGTCTAGAATTGATATATATAAAAACCATCAAATATGATCTGAGATATAAATTAACAAGTACAAGGCCTCACATTACATCATGTGAAAAGGCTAAAAACAGCGATAGAAACTACATTCATAAAAGTGCATCGTCAACATACAACGAAGGCTTTGGCTTGTTCTGTGCCCGTGGGGATGTAGGCATGGCTGGCAGGGCTGTCTGGCACTAATCCCCAGCTCCCTGGAGACGCCCATCCCTGGGCACTGGCTTTTTTTTTTTTTTTCCTTTAATGACAACTCCCAAGGAAAATGGGTGTTGAGAGGGAGGAGCTCTAGCAATAGGCACATTTTGGAGGGGAGGGGCCGGAAGAAAGGACCAGCGCCCAGGCTGAGGTAAATATGACCGACTCTAAGCTGCTTGGAGATGCTGTTTCCCCAATCCCTGCTGTCATTCCTCCCCTAGGGAAGGAGCTAGAAGGGAAAAAGGCTGAGACCTCATGGGGATGGGCAAGGCTGACTAAGGAAGAACAGAGCTGGCAGTTTTGGACACAGCTGGTGACAGCACATGGGCTTTCCCTTCTACCAGAGTGGGCTCTGGCCTAGCAGGTCATGACTCAGACAGCCTGAGATACCTCATGCTCTCTGGGACCAGGGCACCAGCCAGGCCAGATGCCCCTGCCATGTCATCCATTTCCCCTTCTGCTCCAGTGGGAAACAGATGCTAGGCCAGGAGCACAAAGACCATGACCTTCAGCTCTTTCCAATGTAGCCTAGGCCCAAGCCCACAGCAGGTACTCAGAGCCCAGAGGGTACACACAGTCTCCAGTTTAGAAACTGGGTACAGCGTAAGAGTGACTCTTGACTTGTAAAACAGACAACTGCATTGACAAAACTGGATCCCCCCAGTGGCAGCAGTTCGACATCACAGGCCCCTGCCTGGGGGAGGCAGGGTCATGGGCACAGGCAGGACTGGCTCCTCCTTCCCTGAATAAGGCAGCATGACATTTGCTTCATTCATCTTTGGTAAAGGACAGGACTGGCAGAGCCAACCTGGGGCTCTAGGGGAGGGCAGCCTGGGCTTCTGCCTGCCACTGCTGTGGGGTGCTGGCCTTTCCCTCAGGCTTGTGGGAGCTCATCTAACCTGGAGATGCCCTGCTGGTCTCCAGACATTGCAAGGAAAAACAAAATAACACTCTTCTGAATGAAAATAACACTCTTCATACCCTGGCGTCAGTCCCGTGCCCCCAGACCCTCTGGGCTTCAGTGCCAATTGCAGTGTCAGGACACATCCCCAAGGGTGGGGCCCACGGCTGCCTTGCACATTATTCCCAGCCCCTACCCCTCCATGCTGAGCTCAGGACACTGGAGCTCCTGGATATGACAGGGTGGGGTCTCCCAGTCCTGAGGCTACAGCCACCCCACCCCAGCTCTGAGCCCCAGTGGCAGAAGGGGCACAGACAGATGCTAGCTGGGCTGCTGCTCCATGGTCCACAGCCTTGCCTGGGAGAAGCAGCAACTTCGCTGAGCCTCGCAGCAGCCCCCAGCAGCAAAGGGCGGCCGGCAGCTGCGTGGCCATAAGAGCTCAGTACATGAGCTGTGCAAAGTGGTGTGTGAGCAGCTCCTCAGCTGAAGGTCTCTGGCGAGCTTCCACAAAAATGCGCCTCAGGAAGTCCCGGCCATGTTCAGAGATGTGGGAGGGCAGCTGAGGATTGGTGGGCTGGGTGGCAATCTTAAAGATGGCGGCCATAGCTTCATACTCTGCCCACGGTGGTTTCTCTGTCAGCATCTCCACCACAGTGCAGCCCAGGCTCCTGGAAAAAGAGAACCCTGTGTCACCTCTCAGCCGGCCTTGGACTCCCAGCTGTCCCGCCCATCACTGCAAAAGGAGGAGCCTTTCTCAGAGTACGCTGAAGTGTAGGATAGGCCAAGCTGAGGGCTGACAGCCCTTGGATCCCCGACCACATGGGCTTCATGGACCTTTAACTCACCACACACCTGGGCACATCTTGACACTGGGAAAAAGAGAATCACTTTGCCTGGACAGAAAGAGCTCTACAATAACTGTATTAGCTCCCCATAGCTGCTCTAAGTTTACCACAAACTTAGAGGTAGGAAAACAACACAAATGTGTCATCTTACAGTTCTGAAGGTCAGAGGTCTAATATGTCTCACAGGGCTAAAGTCAAGGTGGCTGCAGGGCTGATTCCTGTTGGAAGATCTGAGGGGAGAACCTTGCTTTTCCCAGGTTCTAGAGGCCACCTGCATTTCGTGGCTCATGGTCGCCTCCTTGCATTCCTCCAACGTCTTGCTTCCATAATCTCACCTCCTACTGGCCACTCTGACCTCCTGAGTCCCTTCTGTAAGGACCCTTGTGATTATACCAGGCTACTTGGCTAATTCAGAATAATCCATCCATCTCAAAACCCTTAATTTAATTATCTCTGCAAAGGCCCTTTGCTATATACAATCACATTTACTGATCCTGGGATCAGTCCCCCAATCTTTGGGGGACCATTATTCAGCCTACCACAATAGCTTTCCAAGGGGAGAAGCTCTCATGACTTAGGGGCCACTGCAGAGGATGGACACAAGGTTAGGTCAAGCAAGTGCAAGCCATCTGAGTGCTGGGAGAAGGGACAGAAACCTGCTCCTGTTCAGAGACTGGTCCAGGCCTTCAGAGTGGATCCTGCTGCCTTAAGAGACTTAGAAAATATGAGGGATGTTTTCCATGGCCTAAGTCCCATCTCTAACAGAGTGTGCTTTTATCTGGGGTAAAAACACAACCCATCTGGTGTATGTGCTACTGCACACACCTATACCCTTGCACATACTGCAGCCTGGGTCCTGGGTGCACTCCCTCCTGCCACACCAGAGTCCCCAGGGTACGTTTCTAATGGAGGGCCACTAGGGCCTGGGTGGGAGAAGGGGTTCTGCATGTCCCAGTGCTCACCACACGTCTGCTTTCCTTCCATAGCCCTCACCGCTGATCACCTCAGGACTCATCCAGTAAGGTGTGCCAGTGACGGAGCGCATGCCCGTCCCTGACATACAGATCGTCTGCAGGCGTTTGCTGGCCCCAAAGTCCCCCAGCTTCACATTCCCAGCAGAGTCTCGGAGGATGTTGGCTCCTGAGGCATGAAAAGGCAGAGGCTTCAACCCTGGACCCTCTTGCATCTTCTCCCATCCTCCCCACTCCCAGGTCACTGAGAGCTGCTGGAGAGGGTGGGGCTACCACTGAATTAGACATGAACTACACACAGCAAAGGACGTAGTGAAGGGGAGCCTCAGATCTACCACACAAAATGACCATCTCCATGGCCCACATGTACAGGGAACTTGGCAATATTTTCCCAAATTGCTCAACCAGTCTTCTCACAGTCCCTCAAGGAAGCAATTGGGATCCCATTTTTCAGAAAGTTCAGAAAGATTAAGTAACTGGGCCCCACAGGCACTCAATGGTAGACTTGAACCCAGGTCCTGGGGACTCCATGCATCCTGGCCCTGCTCACCCTTAATGTCCCGGTGAACGATCATGTTGCTGTGCAGATAGGACATGCCCTCCAGGATCTGCCGCGTGTACTTTCGGGTCACACTTTCTGTCAGAGCACCATAGGCCTTCAGCTGGTCTTTCACGGAGCCCTAGCAGCCACAAGGAGTCAGAGAAGTCCCCTCAGGGGAGGGCTGGTGGAGGGGCAAGCCCATTGCAGCTCCCCACATGGCAGCAAAGGAATGATTGGTTCAATTCCTATTTGGCTGCGCAGGGCACTTTGCCAGGAGCTGTCAGGCAGTTTGGAGAAGAGTGTACCACATAGTCCTTCTCAAGCAGCATGCCACCCAAATCCAGGAGCAGGGAGGCCTGTCTGCTCCAGATGAAGGCTGCATTTACTGGGCAGTGAGCCAGTCCTACATGCTTCAGAGGAGGGCTGGGCCTAGGGCAGTTGTCATCATACTCCCACTGCAGCCTGAGGCAGGGCCCTCTTGACTCCAAGACCCACCATCACCTCATTTTGCTGCTCTGGGCCTCTGGAGCCTCAGGTGATCACACTCCTATCCAAGGTGACCCTTCTCCTGCAGGCTCTGCCCCCCAGGTCAGGCCCTCTTGTGTGTGTGTCTCATATGCATTCAAGGGGCACGTACCCCTGGCATGTACTCCATGAAGATGGTCAGGGTCTTCTCAGCACGGTCCCGCAGACAGCCATAGTACTGCACGATGCGCTCATGCTGCAAGTTCTTTAGCAACTGGATCTCACACTCCAGAGCACTCACCTCCTAGGGGAGGGGTCAGTGGTTGCCTCAGCTCTCAGGGCCCCAGTTCTGCCTGCCTGGGTTCAGCCCAACTTGCCCTAGTTAATAATGGCCTCACAAGGGTCTGCCTTGGGAACTGCAGCTGGAGAAAAGGAGGACTCTCTTAACTGTCTAGCCCTTGGCCACAATGCTAGGAAGGCCTTGGGATGGTGGCACTCCCATGCATGGAAGGAGGCAGGGAGGTGGGAGAAGGGGCTGTGGGTGCTTAGCTAAGGTAACTGCTGTTTGTGCACTCCAACTGAAGTGTAAGCCATGCTGAAAGCTGAACTGTAAAGTCAGGCCATATGATTTTTCCTTTAGAGCTGGACCAAGTCAAGGAATGCCACAACTCCTTCCTGGGCTGAGGGCTAGGGAGAGAGATTTGTCTGGTGGAGAGCAGGGAGTGCCCTTTGTGGCACAGGTCATCACCTCTCAGTTTGGGGTACTTGATACTTTGGCATCAGCTTAGTTCCTTATGCCTGACCCCTTCCCCAAGTGCTTGGTGTTCTTCAGAACACAGTCCTTTCACGCTGTGGCTAGGGCTAGGATAGAGAGGAGAGCTTGGGAAGAATGATGGAGGAAGCAACCCACAGCATCTCAAGCAACTACTACTTACTCTGTGTGGTAAGAGAGGCATTTTTGTTGAAAGGAGAGAACTGAAGTCAGACCACGGGGAAAGTGTACCTTGCTTGTCTCAGGACTGTCTGGGTCAAACTGGACCTGCTTGGAAGCAAGTTCACGTCCTGTGTCCACGTCATAGCACAAATAGACCCTGCCAAAGGCACCCTGGCCCAGGAGCTTTCCTCGGCGCCAATTGATGGGGGCACTGGGAGCTATAGGAGAACAGAAGGAAAGAGTATTACTTTGTGTGCACTATTTATGGATATCCCATTCATTCTCCAGGCACTCTATAATAGGGCCTCTGGCTCAGGCTCCCCCTCATCCAGCACCATCACATCATCTCTTAGTAGAGCATCTCCACCGCAATCTGGAGCAAGCCCAGTGCTCTAGTCACTGGGACCTAAAGTCAGAGTCCCAAGAAGCAGAGGATTGGCTACAGTCATGGTTAAATACTCTTCTGCATTGATCAAATACATTTGCTTCCAAAGCCCCTAAATATCTTACTATGGCAGGGATGAAAGGTATGCTCTTCCCTCATTTAAACATGGAAAAACTAAAGATTAGAGAGAGGAGGCTTGTCACACAATAGTGGAGCCAGGCTTCAGGCACTTGGAGACTTATCCCATGTGGTGTGTATGGGCCAAAGCCACCACCTGCTGAGCCTAAGTAAGGGTCCCAGGGGCCCAGCTGTTCTGCCCCTGTAGCTTGTCTGAGACAGCCTGGACAGTCTCCTCCTAGACAGGGACAGCTCCTCACACTTGGTTGGCACATTCCTCTCCTGCACAGAGAGGGAATTCTCGCTGTCTGCACTCCGCAGGCGCCCACGGGGGTCCAGGTATTGCACAGCTAGACCCATGTTCTCGCCATTTGTGCTCAGGGAGCGGCTGGAGGGCACCAGGGTGAACAAGTTGCCTTGATGACGCCGTATTCGGGGAAATGTTCTTCTGCCTGAAAGGGTGCAAGGGCCAGAGTAGAGCAAGTCAGACTGGGGGCTATGAGGCTGAATGTACAAACCAGGTTGGAGCCAGAAGTGATAGATAGATAATACCAGCTCCAGCACACCCTATCCCCACTCCCACCTGACTCATTCCACACAGGCTGCTGTCCCAAGCACTCCAAGAATCAGGAGAAAAGCGGAAATTAAGAAGTAGTCTGGTTCAGGGAGATCTGGCCAAAGGGAAGGCACATGGCTGGCCTGTGGGCTCCCAATTACTTGCAAGGTCAAGCCACACCCAAAGGCATCAATTTCCTTGCATCTTACTCCTTAACCCTCTGTAGGCCCCAGGCCACCTGCTGCTGCGAAGCGGAAGAGGGCATGGGATAGGTTTGGCTCCAACAAAGGTCAGAGTTCCCAGTGGCAGCATCTTGTTCTACAAATACTATTTTCTCTGTTTTTGTTTTTGTTTATTTCCTGTCTCCCATGGCTCAAGTCTGGGCCACAATTCCTCAGGAGTGAAGGAAAATACAGACGCTGGATGGACGGGCCCACCCCCCTCATGGCAGCTCATCCTTTCTTGGGGCAGTCAGCAGGGGGCAGGTGAAGGAGTACTCACCATCGCTGTAGTCTTTGTGGTGCACAGACACATGGTAGCGCCGGGGGTAGGTTCCACCTTTGACCCCTTTGTCATAGAGCTGAGTTTCCCGATCTGAGTAAGAACAGGGAATCACTGGCTTCTGGGTAGGTCAATGTGAGTCACTTAAGCCCCCAAGTCACCTGAGATCTCAAAGCAGCAAGCCTCAGTAGAGCTATTGAGTCAGAACCACCTGGGGTCCCACCTAGACACCCTGCATTGCCTACTCAGGCTTTGTGGAACTCACCTGAGTATTCCTGTCTGTTGTCAGGGAAGCTCTGGGCACGGGACATTCGTGATTTCCGGAAGGATGGGCTGGAGAAAACAAGAAGAAATAAAAAACAGACTCCCTGCACACTTCCACAGCAACCCAGCAGGGCGTCCATGTGGTCTCCCTTTCTAACCCCTGCCACAGTGTTAGGTGGGAGAAGCATATTTTGTGGGGAACAGCCCTTTTGTGTCCAGCTCCTGCGTTCTCCACCCTCCCTTCACTACTCTATAACCTAATCTGACAGCACCCTGAGTGGCACATCTCCCTCATCTGACCCAACTCCTGCCTGGCTGCACAGACCTCTTCCTCCTTGCCCTTTCTTCCTACATCTGTTACAGGCAAAGAACTCCAAGAGAATCCTTTGCCCAGGGCAGTAATAAAAATAGCCAGAACGTCATTGTTTATAGGTTGCCGCTTTCTTATCTATTTTATAAAGTGAGCTTTTTCTCACTTAATCCTCAGAACGCTGTGAGGTAGCAAATACAGTATAATAAAAATAAGTCTGTGTTCTTGCTGCTAAATCAGTCATCTGTCAGCCTAGTCACCACCATTCCACTTTGGAGATGAGGAAACTGAAGAACAGGTTAAAAGACTTGTCTGAAGCCATTCAACTAATATTTATTTGGTGGAGCTGGGACTGGATCTGGGTCTGTCTGGTTCCCGATTTCATGCGCTTTCCCAGATCCCATGAAGGGAAGATGAGAGCCCTGAGCCCAAGTCAGGCTGGGCCTCAAGGAAGTAAGTCTGGATCATTCACAATGAAAATAAAAGAAAGTACTGTAGGGGCAGAGGAAAAAAACCAAGAATAAAGACGTGGGTAAATTCAACTATCTTTCCCAAGATCCACCTGAATGGCCTTTTTCCTTACACATGAGTGCTTAACTGGTCTTTTGTAGGGGCCACAGGTTAGAAACTCTCAAGGCAGTGGCAGAGGGGGGCCGCCCCCTCATTTCCCAACTACTAGACCTTATGTAGTCCACTCCTAGTCCCTGTCTTGGCAGAGCCTTCAGTCTACAACAGCAAGCCCTAGGACTCTTGCCTGTGCCTTCTTACTTCCCTGGTTGGAAAGCAAGCCCCAGACAAGGCTACACATTGGAAACCAAGTAACCATAACGGTATTCTATAATGTCTAAAGGGAAGACAGTGCTCATCAGTGCTCAGGTCTATTAGGCAAGACAATGCATATTTAGCCATAGTCACAAGATCACTACCCAAATGAACAATCAGTTACAAAAGTAAAAAAAAAAAACCCAACCTGCTCCATAGCTTCTGACCACAGTCTGAAACCCAGAAAGACTTGATCAAAACCGCTCTTGGGCATAATAAGGCAGAGTCCAGGGAGTACCAAGATCAACACCAAGGCCTCTCCAGACATACCCTTGCTATTTGGTATGTAAAGGTCACCACTTATTTCCTCCCAAAGTGTAAGAAGAAGATATACACCAAGCAGGCGGCGTGGTATGATAGGCATTCTAGATATTCTGTTTTCGGGTTTCAGTTTCTTACTCCCCGCCAAAAACACTTGGAGTGAAAAATGAAGATAAACCAATGGATGAGAATTCAGTTTTTCCCCTAAAACAGTGACAGTCCATTGCTTCTCAGTTCAGATCACAGCAGTGAAGCCAAAAGTACAAGAGCGGCATATATTATGTCGAAAGTCAAAACATGTAAAGCACTTAGAACAACAAAGCAAGTACTTAATAAATGAGCTGCTATTTTATAAGCTATTATTACATTCATTTAATTACACAATCATAACATTCTCATGGTGTTTGGGAAATTAAGGAGAAGGCTTTCCCAGACGCATTATGTTTTAACCCTGGGCCTGCAGAGCTAACTCTTCTTCCTCAACCCATCAGTTCCAAAAATGACTATGCATTACCCTCCAAACCACCCAAAGTCCCATACCTGTCTGCTGACCTGTCCAAGGATTGGCAGCTTCCAGACAAGGAATTTTCTGCACTGCTCAGGGGATCCAGCATCTGCAAGGCAAGTCATACAATGAAGCCACATCCCCAGCTCCAATTCCCCCATGACCCAAGCTTTATGGCAAAGCCCAGCAAATGGGCCTTTTTATCAAAATATGAAAGTGTCCTTTCTCTTTCCATGCAGTGGGAAGAATGGATAGGAAGGTATCATCCTCCCCCTTAGTTTGAAAGGCAAGTTTCTAGGAGGGAGAAAAATACTTGGCTGGCATCCCAAGAAGCTCTGGCAGGAGAGCAAAGCAGAGGCTCTGCTTTTCTGGTTGGCATGTTCTTGGCTCATTAACACTGGAGCCTGGCTCTGGAGATGGTACTACCCTGCTGAGCCTTCCAGTGAGTTTGGGTGGGACATTAATGCTTCTGTTTACACTCCGTAATTTATAATTTACAAAGACGAATATTGCCTCATTTCACAGATGGGCACTACAGGCCTAGAAAGGTTAGGAGACTTGTCTAAAGTCATAAAACTAAGTTAGTACACAGCTGATACCAGAATGAAAATGTCCCAGTTCCTGGTCCAATGCAGAGGTAATAGATATCTAAATATATTAAATATTTCTCTGGCCCATGGTCAAATGCAGCAACAAAATTAATTTTTCTTCAATCAATGTCCTGAAGATCCTCCTCTTCATTTTCTCTGCACAAAGGTGGGAGTGGGGTCTTTAATTCAGAATATTCATTATCTGAGCTCCAACATTAAACATTACATAGAGGCCAGGCTTGGTGACTCATGCCTGTAATCCTAGTACTTTGGGAGGCCAAGGCAGGAGGATCACTTGAGCTCAGGGCCTGGGCAACATAGTGAGACCTTGTCTCTGTTTAAAATTTTTTTAATTAATTTTTTAAAAATTACATAGGGAAACAAAGTATCAGAATTATGAAAATTCACTAACAACCTCCATAAAATTAGTTTCCAACTCAAATATTTTTCCCATTTAATACTAGCATCCGTCTCCACCCATAATTTCAAATGCTTTAGGTCATATTGTCACACGCGATTTTTAAAAATCTGCCAATCAAGGCAAATTGCAAAGTAAAACTGCAAATATTGCTAAGGATATAGACTATCTCAAGTGGATGAAACCAACATTGGAGAGAATCGCTTTCAATCTATCAGGTCCATATTTGGCAAATTTAGACCAGTTAACAGAGAAAAAGAAAATGGACAAATAAATAATAAGGCCAATGTGGTGGACTTATGAAAGGCCTTGGGGAAACTGCTGAGTCCTGTGAATTCTCTTGCAAAAAATGAGCTTCTTTATGGTCAGAAGTGAAGCAGGGAGTGAAGGACGTTACATTGTGCTAGCATTTTGTTGTTGCTGTTGTTCAAGACAGGGTCTCGTTCTGCCACCTAAGCTGGAGTGCAGTTCATTGCAGCCTAGGCTCAAGTGATCCTCCCACCTCAGCCTCCTGAGTAGCTGGGACTACAGGCATGTGTGCCACTATGCCCGGCTAATTCAAAAAGATTTTTTTTTGTATAGACAGGGTCTTCCTATATTGCCCAGGCTTGTCTTAAACTCTTGACCTCAAGCAATCCTCCTGCCTTGGCCTCAAAAAGGACTAGGATTACAAGCATGAACCACTGCACCCAGACTGGCATAAATTTTGTTAGAAAACTTAAGCCAAAAAATTAACATGAATCATACTTTATTCACTCAGAAATGAGTAAATAGATGCAATTATCACCTAAACCCAATTAAAGAAAAAACAAAATACACTTATCATACTTTCGCTTTTCAATAAAGTCACATTGGAATATTCTTTCATTACATACTATGCAACGTTTGCTCCTGTTCAGTGGATTGATCTCAAATGACCTGTTACCAGAAGCAATTCTCTTCAGCTAAAGAGGCAGGCACTGGAAGAGGACCTTGGCAATCTCTAGCCACTGCCTTCCTTGGCCTCTTTCTAAAAGTCTGTTCTCCCTAGGAGTCCTCCTACACTTTCCAGGGCCATGCAGGTAAAGTATAAAAGTGAAGGGGACAGAGTATAAGACCATGGAGAGGGACACAGACTTAGGGCAATCAAGCTCATCTGCAATCTCTGGAATTTTACACCCAAGTCACCCCAGAACAGCTGATGTCCAGAAGTGCCCTGGTTAGAGAAACTAGGAAGGATGGTCAGTAAAATGCCCAAGAAGGAACTCTGCAGCTAAAGGTACTCTAGGTCACTATTCCAAACACAAATTTATCTGGAAGGCAGGAGGATAGAAGGAAGAAGAGTACAAAGCGCTTCTCATAGCTTAGATAGTTTGAATAATGAAAGAAAAGTTACAAGAATCAGTTTTTGTAAAATCTCCTATGTGACAGCACTGGCCCATCTGTTGGACATTTTCTCCTTAAGAAATTTCCCCTTCTCTGGGAGCCGCAGTGGCTCCAGCCAGTTGTCCTGGCGCTTGAGGAGGCGAGGCTATGAGTTCAAGGCCAACCTGAACAACATAACAAGCTCTCATTGATTAACAAAAAAAAAAAAAAAGAAATTTCCCCTTCTCAGGCCAAATCCCAGAAAGTATAAGAACAGCCCTTTTTTTTTTTTTTTTTAACAATCAAAGCAAGCACATTAAAAAGACCAGAATGAAACTATAGATCTCACCCTTGCTGAGTTCACTAAGCCAAAGCCATTTGCATCAAGTAACCCACCAGTTTAAAAGCTAGCCATTAAAATGGCTGAGCCACTGTGGTGGACACACCCTAAGGTGATTACTTCCTCTACCAATTAGTCCCAATGAGCTAGCTGCCTTTCCCTTTAGTACAAGTAGAACCTGTGACTTGTTTCTAGCCAACAGACTATGGCAAAGAGGATGGAATATTCATTCCCATAATTATGTAATGTTTTATGACTCCATCTTTGCAGACTGGAGCAAGAAATTCTCCTGCTGGCCCTGAAGAAGCTGCCATGTTGTGAGAAGGCCCCACGGCAAGTAACAACAGGTGGCCTCTAGGAGAGAAACTCAGAGAAGCCCCTCAGTGACATCCAGAAGAAAAGAGGAATGACAGTCCTACAGCCACAAGAAACTGAATTCTGTCAAGAACCATCTGAGCTTGGAAGAGAACCCCAAACTCAAGAAAGGCAGGCAGCCTGGCTGACACCCTGGATTGCAGTCTTGTGTGACCCTCAGCAGAGGACTCACTTAAATCATGCCTAGACTCCTGACCCAGGGAAACTGGAAAATGATAAATGTATGTTGTTTTAAGCCTCTAGGTTTGTGGTAATTTGTTATGGAGCAATAGGTAACTAATACAACCGTCTACCATCATAAATGGTCAACCTAACCAATCCTACAGTGTAATTTTGATACGGTTTACTCCCTACCTTTTTCATCAAGAAGTGGCAAAACTAAAATATATCCAATAAAAAACATAACCTGTCAGTTTAAAACCAGGCATATGTTAAAACACTACTAAAATGAGCTGGGAGTGGTGGTGCCTTGCCTATAGTCCCAGCTACCTGGGGGAACAATGAGAGGACTACAATAAAGGAAAATCTGTTAAGTGTTCACCCAACAGCAACGAGACTACGTAGTTTAGATCCCATCTTTGGCAGAAATCGTTATTTGACCATTAAAAAGGGGTAATCCATATTTGGGCAGGCCTGGTTTATAAAAGAGCTTTCAAAATGGGGTACATGTTCTTCACTGTGACTACTGAGAGTCCCTTGGTATGACCTTGGTCTGCTGATACAGGCCACGGGCATATCCCAACCCCCCTATACTCACGCACTGTTCGCTGGTCTCTGGGATGAACTCCCCCTCACTGTTGATGCTGGTGTAGGACCCCTGCCGGGCAATGTGCTGCTGCCGCTCAGGAACATAGCCAGGGGGAGGTGAGCTTCGACCAAGGTTCTGGGAGCCTAGAACACATAAAGGAGGCTTTTTTTCAACAACAAAGCCCAGGATGTGTGGCCCAAGAGGAGCAGGTATGGGGCCAGCTCACACCAGGTCCCAGAGGTCAGGAATGTGACTCAGATGGGTCATGGCACTAACATCCAGCAGGTACCAGCTCCCTCAGACAAACAAAGTCTTTTCCTAACAGGAAACAAACTCCAGAGACAGAGCAGGCACTATGGCTTATGTGACCAAAAACCTTGGCACAAAACAGAAACCAGAATAACCCCTATGAGACCAATATTAGCTGGCAATATATATATAATTATTCCTTCATAATGTCACCTTCACTCTTCCTCTAGAGCACTAATGCCATAATGCCATTTCCTCCCATCAGCCAATGCATCAGTTTAGTCCTCTTGAATTTTGGGTCCCAGCAGTATTTTGAGGGTGGGGACCAGGAAAAGGTAACTGAATATACCTGGGCATCTCTCTCTGCTCTCCTGTTCCCTCAGCCATTATCTTCCCTTTTTGTTCTCTACCTGTATCAGGTAAAAAGGCCCTCCTGATGGTCTGACCAGGATCAAGAGGCAGGCTTCTCCATTCCTACCCACTCCCATGCTTCCTGGCTTATGAGTAATGATATTCTTTTTTTTTTTTTTTTTTTTTTTTTAATTGAGACAGGGTTTCACTATGTTGCTCAGGCTGGTCTGAGTAATGATTATCTCGCATTTATGTAGTGCTTTACTTTTTGTTACACATTCACAGTAATTAACCTCATTTGATTTTCAGCATCACTACAACAGAGGTTTGGCAAATATTTTTTGGGTGCCTGCTAAGTGGCAATCATTCCACAAGGTATTTTTACATTTGTTACTTCACTTAATCCTTTCAACAATCCTGAGAGGTAAGCATTTGCTTTACTTAACAGAGGAAAAAACAAAGACTCAATGAACTTAAATCTTAAAAAAAAAACCCAAAACACCCAAAAACAATTATATATGTTTTACAGGTAAAAGAATATAAAACCACTGGGTGCGGTGGCTCAAGCCTATAATCCCAGCACTTTGGGAGGCTGAGGCAGGTTGATCACCTGAGACCGGGAGTTTGAGACCAACCTGACCAACATGAAGAAACCAGTCTGTACTACAAATACAAAATTAGCAGGGCATGGTGGTGCCTGTAATCCCAGCTACTCGGGAGGCTGAGGCAGAAGAATCGCTTGAATCCAGGAGGCAGAGGTTGCAGTGAGCCCAGATTGCGCCACTGCACTCCAGCCTGGGCAGTAAGAGCAAAACTCTGTCTTAAAAAAAAAAAAAAAAGATAGAATATAAAACCAATTTACAGGTACTTTCACCACATCAACTTGTAAAAAAACAGTTTGTCATCCTAACGTCAGTAAATGACAGAGGTGTACAGAGACACACATTGTAAGTCACTGAGCAATACATTTCTGTCACAACAGATTTTGAGTCTGAGAAATCAGGTCCTCCTTCCTCCTAGTCCAAGAGCTTTTCCTGATTGATTCTATTGCTTTCCATGATCAGAGGGAACAAAAATGAAGCCAAAAGTTTGCATCTCTTTTCCTTCCTAAGCTCACCAGACAAACCAGAAGAGCCAACTTTCGGAAGGTTTAAAAAAAGCTTTAACAAACAAAAAAAACACAACCAACCAAAAAAAAAAAACTTTAACAATACCCACACAAATATTTTTCGTAGCTTCAAACTTAAATATAGGATTCTAATCCTGAACCCTTTTCCTGTTCCGGAGGGAACAAATTTATCCTGTTATGCAGAAAACCAGAGACACAAGAGCCCTCCACTCCCTTATCTACCAGCCCTTACCTCTCCCACAACCCAGCAATTCCTAGACACCAGGAATAGCAGAAGTACCATCCCTCAACAATGCAGGCTACTTTCCTTGCTGGCTGGTTTCTCCAGTCTAGTTCAGGGGCTGTAGTACTACGTTTTCTGAAATGGAACTGCAAGCAAGATGCTCTGTGGAAATGGCTAAGGAAGCAAGAGAGATCAAGTTTGGTAGTTGGAGATCTAGAAGTACCTGACTCATTCTATTGTTTTGGGTTTTGTTTTTTTTTTTTTTTTTTCCAGAGACAGGTCTCACTATGTTGCCCAGACTAGTCTTGAGCTCCTGGGCTCAGGAAATCCTCCCTCTTCAGCTACAGGCAGGTACCACCATGCCTGGCTTCCCTCCTTTCCTGATGCTAGAGCCCCAGTCCAGACCAGTTTTAGATAGAAAACTTGAGACAATGAGTTTTAGTTTTATATGTGTGTGTGTGTGTACATGTTTATTTTACATATATATATTTCTTGTCATTTAAAAGCTCATGTGTGGCCAGGTGCAGTGGTTCACACCTATAATCCTGACACTTTGAGAGGCAGGCGAAATGCTTGAGGTGAGGAGTTTGAGATCAGCCTGGGCAAAATGGTGAGACCCCATCTCTATTAAAAAAATCTTTTTAATTAGCCAGGCATGGTGGCACACACTTGTAGACCCAGATACTTGGGAGACTGAGGCAGGGGGATTGCTTGAGCTTGGGAGCTTGAGGCTGTAGTGAGCCGTGTTTGCACCAACGCACTCCAGCATGGGTGATGGAGTGAGACCCTGTCTCAAAGACAAAACAAAATGAAAGCTCATGTGGAGCCAGGAGCACTGAGCCTGTGCCTGGAAGTAGAGGTAGCACAACAGGGATCATGCATGTTCAGCAGAGGGTGCTCAAGAGCTCAGTTCAGGCTCTTTGAACGTCCTGGAAAAGAGGGTGAGCCTGACAGACTGAAGGGGCTCAACAAACTTCCTGAGCCAGAGAGACTCCCACTATTTCAAAAACCCTCAGAAGGAAGAAAAATATTTAATGGAAAAAAAGAATTGAGGGAAGGCTTGCTTATGTCCGTATGTGTACACTTTTAGAGATGGGGTCTTGCTGTGTTGCCTAGGTTGGGTTCAAGCCTTGGCTTCCCCAGGTGTTGGGATTAAAGGCATGATGAATGGCCACACCTGGCCAGAGGGTTGCTCTTTGAAAAACATTTTCTAAGAAGCTTAAACTATTGTTTTTCAATGACCTTCAAGAAACTTTTTCTTTTTGAGATGGAGTCTTGCTCTGTTGCCCAGGCTGGAGTGCAGTGGCACTCCAAGATTGTATCTTGGCTCAAGGCAACCTCTGCCTTCTGGGTTCAAGCAATTCTCCTGCCTCAGCCTTTCTAATAGCTGGGATTACAGGCGGCTGTCACCATACCCAGCTAATTTGTGTATTTTTAGTAGAGACAGGGTTTCACCATCTTGGCCAGGCTGGTCTCAAACTCCTGTCCTCAGGTGATCTACCTGCCTTGGCCTCCCAAAGTGCTGGGATTACAGGTGTGAACCACTGTACCCAGCTGAAACTCTTTTGATTCTTCTACATTAAGTCAGTTGTTCAGAACATATGGTTCATTTGGTTGTGCTGAACATGTTTTTATGAATTCACCACTGAGAATACTTCCAATCTCTGCTTGGACACATCACCCCAGTCTCCTTCCAAGGATGTCTCTATGGCAGGAAACCTAACATGTGGTCCCCAGTTATCTGGCTTCCCCACCTGACCCCAGAGTGGAGGCCAGAAACAAAATTGCTCTGAATGGCATAGAATTTTGCTGGATTTCCTGTCTCAACATCTCACTCACAGGGTAGAGGCCATCAATTCTGAGATAAAGTGGTATCTGAGACATGCCTTTGAAATAGTCTCAGTTAGCCCATGAAAGAGAATTTATCCACATTTTCTAAGCCCTAGCAGAAACTAAACTCACTCTGAGTATAAATTTAGGGATATTGTACTGTGAAACAGAGCAATAAAATCGGCCAAGGCAATTTTTTTTCTTAAAAAACACTGTCACTTCTCATTTAACCCTTACTATACCCTGGCTGTGGTGGTGCATTAGTATCATCCACATTGTGCAGAGGGAAACCTGAGGCCCAAAGCCATAAAGTGACTTAATGGTGGGGCTGAAGGTACTCAGTACAGTTCAGCCAAGGCAATTTGGGGACTATAATTTATTTCCAAAACGAGTAGGCATGCTGATCAACACAGTGGCACAAGGCAAAACCTCTCCCTGAACTGGCCAGGCCATCTGTTCCCCATGAGTAATCCCTACGGAGGATGGAGATCCCATCCACAAGAAAATATGACAGCCTGCCAGGTGTGAGAGAGAGGCTAACGTGGGGACTTCCTGGCAGCACAGGGGAAACGCAGTGCCATGTTTCTTTCTTTAGAATTCAGTGGTGTGATCATAGCTCATGAACTCCTGGGCTCAAGGGATCCTCCTGCTTTAGCCTCCCAAAGTGCTAGAATTACAGGTGTCAGCTACCTCCATAGTGCCATGTTTCATGCAGATCAAATTCAGGGTTGTTTTGTCCATGGTCATTTGGGAGTCAGAGATGAGGAATACAAAACGCCATTTGGTCAATGGAGGGCTTGGAGGCAAAGACAAAATGGAGGTTAGGGGAAATCTGAACCAAGGAAACTACTTTACCTTCCATTGATCCAGACCTCATAGACCCATGTACCTGGCTGCTTCCCTTGCCACTGTAACACAAAATTTCAGTGCAACCATGAAAAAAGGATGGTTTTCCTAAGCCCTATCATGCCTCAAAACACTGAGAGAATGCTATTTAACCCGTTGCTTATAAAAATTAGCCTACTGCCTGCGTCCTACTTTTAGCTTTGGATGACATCTTGGTAGTCCACAGGTTCTGTGGCAATTCAGTCTACAGGTCAGCAACATTTGTCAGCAGAAGCAACTCTAAGGAGGTAAGCAAGGTGCACAGAGAAAAGACTAAGCTTTGAACTTAAGATTCACGTGGGCTCAGATCAGGCTTTGCCACTCATTAGCTAAATGATCTAAGCTCTCACCTCAATTCCCTCAACTGCAAAAATGGGGAGATCTACCTACTTCATAATTTCTTTTGGAAGTTATAAATGTGTTGGTACAGGTACGTATCTATATAACCCTATCTCATGGTAGGAACTCCACAAGAC